TCTGCTCGGCCCTCTCCTCAACCCGCGCCCCTCTGCTCGGCCCTCTCCTCACCCCGCGCCCCTCTGCTCGGCCCGCACTCTCCTCAACCCGCGCCCCTCACCCCGCGCCTCAGCCGGGCAGCGCTCGCCCTCAGCCGCCCGCCACCGGCTCCCGCGCCGCGCACGGCCTCACGGGAGCCCGCGGCGCGCACGCGCACAGAGCCGGCTCAGCGCAGGCTCCGCCCCGGCCGCGGCGTCCACCGCCAGGCCCAAGCTGATTGGCTCCCTGCCCCGGCGTGACGTCATGTGCGGCGAGGGCCGGGGCGGCGGCTTCTGGAATGTTTGTGTGAGAGGAAGGTCGGTGCGGGGACGGCGCCGCTCAGCCGCGACCGGTGGTCCGAGTTAGATTCGTCTCTGCTGCGGCCACCCCAGTCCCGGCCGTCCGGGGAGAGAAAGCCCAGTTGGCGGGGGAAGCAACGGACCGAGAGCCCGCTGACAGGACCGACAGTCATTGTACCAGAGCGCCGCACTCCGGGCTGGTTCCAGAAGGTTCGCTCGTCGGCTCGCAGAGAAGCAAGCGGCCGCGCTCGGGCGATGGACGGCGCCCTAGTGTTCCCTGGGTGCAAAGCCGGGAGACGTCCGCGGGCCAGAGAGCAGACCCTTAAGGGAATCACTTGAGTGGGGCAGACCACACAACATCTGCAACATCTGCTTCCACAAGTTAACATGGGAAATTGCGAGGGGCGGGATCCCCTGGGACAAGTGACCCTGAGGTCAGGCAAGGTTCTGGTCTTGTGGGTCTAGGTAGACACCTCTGAATAGTCTTTCTTCACTAAATATATATACGGATATGCTAGTTTTATTGGAAAGGCAGATCTTCCATCGCTGGCTCTCTCCGCACACGGCCGCGACGGCAGGAGCTGCTCGGAGCCGGGTGCGGGTCCCCCACGGGTGCGGGGGTCTCTCCTGCATGCCTCCTTCCCATCCTGAGCAGGTGCTGCAGCTGAGCCTTGAGTCGGAGCTACTTCCCATTAGCCCTGGTTTGCTTTTTGTCCTCCCCCTTTGGAAAATAGCAAAGGCTCGCGAAGCCACCGTGCCGGGAAGACCTGCCGCGAGAGCACAGGGCAGCGGGCGCCCCTCTCCTCGGCCCTCTCCCCGGCCAGAGCCCTGCCGAGGAGGAGCAGTGGACGCGGATGAGGGGTGGGAGCCCGGGCACTTGGGGATGTTTGTAGACAGAGGAGGGACTCTCAGGAGAAGAATTAAAGGTGCCGGAAGGCGCAGACTGACCCCAGCCCAGGCTGGAACCCGGCCAGCAGGGGGGCTTCTTGCGCCTCCAAGTTCCCCACCTGACTGAGTTGCCAACCACAGCTCCTTATTGCAAAGCTGTTGGGGGCGGGGGGCTGAAAGTACAGAAAATCATGATGCAATCCGCCCCCGGAGCACAAGGGACAGAAAGTTGTCTTCTGGACCTAAGTCAGCACGCGCCCCGCGTGGTCTGCCCGCCTCTCCGCAGGAGCATCTAGGGCCTTCCTGGGGCCAGGAGAGAGGATTCCACGGGAAGGAGAGGGAGGGACGAAGCTTCTCCGTATTGGTGGAGCTACATCTGGACCACATAAAATCTGTTTTTTACACCAATAAAAATAATAAACAGATGAGCTGCAGGGATCAAGTGTGGCTGCTGCTGGCCACTCCTTCCTGTCTGAGGCTTCTTTGAAAAGTCAAGTTCTGCACACCATCTTTTCAGGCCGACTTTAAAAGTCAGAGGTCAGAGCCGAGGTCACCGACGCTGTCCAGTGCCATTTTTGATGAAGGTAGTGGGATGGACCCACTTCTGCCAGAGGCACCACCTGGTCGGTCCGCCAGGACACACACGCCCAAGGGGGCCAGAGAGACAGCTGGGGATGGGCACCAGCCCCATCACAGGGACCCGGCCAAATTGGGGCCATAGCTGAGCCGGCCAGTGGCCTTTCTTCCCACTCACCCACCCCACAAGGCGACAAGCAGGACATCCCACCCGCTCCGAGCTGGGACGACACTCAGAGGACTTGTCACAGTCCCTGGCACCCATGCACCCCCACAAGGAAGTGGTGGTGGGAATGACCCGACTCACAGCATCTGGAATTCCGATGCCCGGGATGATCTTAACAGCCGAGTCCCACCAGCTCCAAGACCCAGCCGCCTCCTGAAGGCAACGCTTCTCCAGTCCCCTTCCCCACAGCCCACACAGGTCCCAGAAACCGGAGTCCACTGCTGCCCACTGAGACGGGAAAGTCCCCTCCCAAGGTCACCAGAACCCTGCCCCCTGCCAGCGAGTCCCATTGGGCCTTCTCCAGTGGGTTCTGCTGCACACATGGCATGCTGATCCCCTGCTCTGGCGTTGCCCTGGCCCAGTGCCCCAGGCAAAGGCTCCTGGATGCCCTCCCCTCTCTCGAAGCAGCTGAGGGCTGCCTAATCCAGGCCTTTGAGGATCAGGGCCCCCAGGGCTGGGGCTGAGCGGTGGGTATTCCACCAGCAACAGCCTCCGTTGAGCGTGTACCTGGCCAGCAGAACACAAGGTGTGCCCAATGGGCAGTGCTCAGGCCGAGCTGGGGCAAAGCAGCGAGGCTGGCACTGAGAGCACGCAGTGGGCTTCCACCTCCATCCTGCCTTGAGTGAGTCCAGCTCTGGCCACGGCGAGGGCTGGAGAGCAGTGAGAGGAATGGCTTGCCAGTCCTTGCAGCCGGCAGAGGCTAGGGCAGTGTGTGACGGCCAGCATGGCATTCTGCAGGATCAGCGCCAGCTGGTCCAGACCTGCTAGCAGGAGGCTGCGGAACGGGCAGCAAAGCAGAGATGGAAAAAACTGGAAGACAGAGGGTGAGGTATAAAAATCTGTATTTATATTACAATGACATAATGACACAGCACAGCCCACCTGGTGGACAGGCAGGTGGACGCCCCATCTCTAACTCTCCAGCATGGAGCTTGTTGCATACCACTCCCCCACCCTGTGCCACCCCAGACTCTGGCACCCACCTCCCCGGTACCCTCATCGTACTGGGGGGGAGGCACTGGGGAGGCACTGGGATCCTAACCCTGAGAGAGGCAGAGGATGGCATTCCTTCAGGCCAGCCGGCAGGCAGACAGGTCAAGCGCCTGGCCGCCACATGGAGTCAGGTCAGTGGAGGCTGACCAGGGCCACCGCCGGCAGCATCTCCCCTGCCGGCTGGGCCTGCACCACAGTGTGGAGTCTGCCTTGGCGTCCCCGCGCCTGCGCATGGGATTCCAGACCCTTGGCCCCAACACCATGTTGGCCCACGTGGGCAGATACATGCAGGACCCGCAGCCCCTGGCATCCGCCGGCCTGTGCCACGGATGCGGCCGAGAGGAATGCTCAAGTGACTCCCAGCACAGCCCCATTCCTACTGAGGGCCACCCCTCACCCACCTGTGGGGAGCAGGAAGGGCGGCTGGAGCCCACTGCAAGGCCCAGTCCCAAGGCCACGTGGGCGCCTCGGGCTGAGGGGCCAGTGAGGTTGTGCCTGTCACGGGCTGGGAGGGTTCCTGGGGTCCTGCCCACCCGCCTCCCGCCCTGGAGTAGGTTCTTACCCACACTCCATGGGCAGAGGGTACAGAAGGGACGGCTCAGGGGACATCTGCCTTTCTCCCTCACACCCACCCGGGCAATCGGGTGAGGGGTGCAGACTCCATTGTGCCCCCCTGCTCTTCGCCAACCATCCTAGGCTCCCACATTTCAACTTCTGCACCACAGCTATTTCTAGGGAGCCCTGTCTATCTCAAGAGGCCCACATGCTGGGGTGTCCATTGGTGCAACTGACAATGCAAACACAAATTTTTCTCCACGTTTGGAACTTGCTTAGCAATACGCTGGGGGAGGAGGCGGCAGGGGCACATGTGTGGGCACACCCTGCCGCCCAGGCATTACTGCCTGTCTCCAGGGACAAGGAGCACAGGAATAAATGGCCAGTGGACGCCTACGGCCCACAGCACCAGGGACGAATGCTGTCCATCTCAGCTGCCAATGTCTCAAACCCAGGGTCCTGGCCCCAGGCCAGGGTTTGAAGAAGCCTACATGGGGGCATGAGTGAGATTCTCTCTGGTTCACAAGCCCACCTCTAGCCAGGAGGCCCTCTTTCCCCAGCGCAGCCCAGGGGGCAAACCACAGCCCCACCCGCTGCAAAAAGTAGCGGGCACCACTCCCAGGAGCCGTGGCCACAGAGGCTGGGGGGCGAGGGGACTGCTGGGGCAGAGTGGGGGCAGGCCAGCCGGGGCAGCCTGCGAGCCAGGAGGGACATGCTGGTGGTGACAAGCAGGGCGCAAGGCACACTGTGACGGCGTGACAGAGGGACAGGTCCCTGAGACGCTGGGTGGCTCCCACCCCTCAGCAACCAAGGACGTAACAGCAGCTAGGAAAGTAGAGTAAAAAAATCTTCTGGAAAGCAAGGCGCGCTGCCCGCCTGCGGCCCAGGCTTCAGAGCTCTTTCTCTTGCTTAAAAGAAAAAGAATCTGTTCCTTTTTTCTTTCTTTTTGGAAAAGCTTCTTTGCCAGCCAGGGTGGACATGGGCAGGAGCTGGTGGCACAAAGCTCCCCCACCATTTGCGGTTTGGTTTGTTCAAAGGGAGACGAGAAAGCTGGAGGAAGTGGTAGCTGTACCCGCCCAGCAGGTGAGCTGGGCACAGGTGTCAAGCATGAGCTGGCTGAAGGCTGACCTGCTGCCCCGGTCACCCACATGCTGTCCTGGGGTGCCTGCGTGTGTGACTCAGGGTCCGACCAAGCCAGCAGCCACCCTAGCTGACTCCAGGACCTGCAGGGTGGGGATGGCCCCTCCGCCCGCCTACCCTGGGGTTGCTCACCCAAGTCCCGCCCTTCACAGATCCCTCTGTCCACACCTTGGGAGCCTGCATGGCCCGACGGACGGACGGGCAGCCACGTCTTCCTTCCCAGCATCCAGGCTCGGGCGGTGGGGGGAGTAGTTTGAGCTCCCCGAAGTGGTCATTAAGCCCCCTGACATGGCGCCTGCCGAGGTTTGCAGCAATGAACATTTAATACTTCTGGAATGATTAGGAATCTGATGACAGACCGTGGGCGACCACGCAGTGCTCTGCCCTGTTGCCCTTGCCATGGGCCCCGCACGGGCAGGACGGGCGGGCGGCTCGGCGGGCCCTGACCAGCAGGCAGGCAGGCAGACAAGCCCAGGCGGCAGCTGGAGCTTCCAGAATGGCACAGCAGTGGCCCGTGGAGAGGCTGGTGTCGGTCAAGGGAGGACAGGAGGGCTGACACGCTCAGCCGGGCGGGCAGGCCAAGGAGTGAAGGGCGCTGGCCTAGGAGAGGCCAGGGCGGCCAGGCCGCCGGCAGGGAGGCCCGAAGTTGGCACCGCAGCCGCCACTCTGCAGGCTGTAGTGGTCATCCACGTCGCTGCCGCTGCCCACACTGTCCAGCTCCCCGGATCCGAACTCCATGCTCTCTATGTCCACTTCTGGGGAGGAGAGAGGGAACGAGGTCAGGCTGGTTCTAGCCCAGAGCCTGGCCTCCGGGGACCCCAGCCAATGCCCCTTCGGCAGGCTGGCAGTGAGGACCACCCCCAGGGCCCCAGCCCCACCTTGCTCTGAGTCGTCGGTGGACACAGCAGAGCCCGTGCTGTCTGTGCGCACACGTTCCACACTCTGCACCGACAGCTGCTCCAGGCGCCGCTTCAGGAAGCGGTGCTCGCGCTGCAGCTGCTCTTTGATGCTCAGGGCCCGGCGGTCCTGCTCCTCCAGTTTCTGGGAGATGGGGGCATGGGCTATGAGCCTAGAGTGGCTCAGTCAGGCAGTCACACCCGGGGCCACCTCCCAGGCCTGCGGGACGCCAGCCACTTGCAGCTCCCACTCCCCCCACCCCCAGCACCTCCATCTCTGCACGCCCCCGTTGCTGTCATCTGCAAACCCTCCTGAACCATGAGCCCCACCCTCCCCGCTGCTGGGCAGTGAGCACCCTGTGAGGGCCTGCCACAGGCTGCAGTCTCCCAAGGCCTTCAATCCTGCTGTGTCAGGAGGCTATCTACCTCCCCTCCACTCCACACCCGCCCCAGGCTGCCCTGCACAGCCCAGGGCCCAGAGAACCGCTCCACCCTCTCCCCCTCCCCTCCATGCCCAACAAAAGTCGGACTTGCTCCCGTGCCCTTCTCCAGCTCCCCAGAGCCTCCCACCTCTGGGCTGTCCTGGGCTGCCCCAGGGAGACAGTGGGGTGGGGTGGGTACCAGGTGCTCGCCTCACCTTGATGTGCATCCTGGCTCGCTTCAGGAGGCTCAGCGTGGTATGGCGGGTGCTGTCGGGGCCCAGGGGCACCAGCTGCTTCAGCTGCTCCAGGTATAGCCTGAGTTTGGCTCGTCTGAAAGAGCCAGAGACAGGACCGTGGGGCTAGGCAACAGAGCCTGGCTGTGGGCAGGCAGAGGGCCAGGCCTCCCTCCCGGTGACCCCACCAGGCACCATGCTACAGGGGCAGCAAAAGGCGAGGTGGCCATCGTCCAGCCTCATCAGGCCCACAGTGCTCTCCAGGTTCTGTCCTCCCAGAAGTACAAGTTGGTCAGGGCAAGGGGTGGCCGAGAACCAGCTCCCAGCACCCCAAGCTTAGTAACCCTTTGGGAACTCAGAGCCGCCATGCACCGAGGGGTCATTCACAAGATACCTGCCTTTCCCAGAAGTGCTGAAATGTCCTGGACACTGAGCAACCAGGAGGACATCAGCCCTTCCAGCCCCTGGCCTGGCGCTGCACGACACCCGGTGCCCAGTGGCCATCCCTTGGCCTGTCCCGCGTGACACCTGGGCTCAGCGGCCGCTGGCGCGGCCTCCTACACTGCCCAGCTTAGGGAAGTCTAGGAGCCTGCAGCCCACAACCTGGCCCCCATCGCGGCCTGCGTCTCCCACGCCCACTGTCTCCCAGCAGCGCCATCACTGTGCCCAGCTTCTATGCCTGCTGCCTAGCGTGCCCTGTGCTCCAGAGAGGGACCCGGGCAGGGACCTGGCCGGTTCCTGTGGACAGAGCAGGCGGGGCTGCCGGGAGAGGCAGCTGGGGGAATAAGGACCCTGTCCACGGGGCCCACCTCGTGCTCTCCAGTGACAGCACACCTCCCTGGCCAGCGAGTGTGTGCGGTCTACAAACTCTACCAGCTCTTGAGCTGGACCTTAAAGAGGACTGCGGGCGTGGGACTGAGGCTGTGCTGGGCCAGGAGGCAGCTGGGGGTGGCTGAGTCAGCACAGAGCCAGTCCGGGTCTGGGTGGCTTCAGCTGCCCCCATGCACCCCCAGGATCCAGGGTGGGCAAGGAGCCATGTGCTCCACCTCAGGAAGGGCCCTCCTGGGGACGGGGTCGGGGCACCACAGGGGTAAAAGTGAGGCAGGGATTCCATCACCCTGTCGGCGGGACCCAAGCACTGCCTGGGGCAGATCAAAACACAAGCAGAAGAGAAAAGTCAGCAAGCAGCCCAGGCTTGTCGGACACAGAGAGCGGACGCACACGAGAGATGGGACAGGACACAGCAAGCACCACAGCTCACGTTTATTTCTGCACTTTTCCAGGTTTGCTAAACAAGGACTCAGCGTGTTACAATCAGGAAAGACACGTTTGTACAAGAAAGAAAAAAAATACCACACACCTGAGAGACAAGGAGAGAGACACGGCAGCACACACAGAAGACACGATTAGTACCGTGGCGTTGGCAGCACGCACGCGTCACGGGGAGGGCAGCGGCCACAGCTGTAACACAGGGCAGGGAGGCGACGTGGCGGGAGCGGGACCAGGCGCCTCCCCTCGCTCACGCCAGGGCACGCTAGCGTGCTCTGCCCACAGCCAGGCTGTGAGGCGGGCTGGGGCGGGGACTGGTCGGTCTGCTGGCAGGAGAGACGCCACTGGGGAAGGCCCTGAGCATCACTGTCATGGACGAGACACGTGGGCTGGCATCGTGGACCGGAGGCCCTGCTTCTGAGTCCTACATGTCCCCTCTCCTTCCCAGGGACACAGATCTGAGTGGGTGCCCTGCACACCACCCAGAGGGGCACGGTGCCCGGCAGGAGGCAGGGCAATGGCAGTCCTAGGAGCAAGGCAGCACCCAGTGGACATCAAGGTCCCCTGCTGACATTGGTTAGTGCAATACCAGGGACAAGGACTCGGCCCTGGGCTCCTGGGGTGGGGGGCTGTTTGTAGGGGTGGGGAGGGGGGTGGGGTGAGGCCATGTCAGGAGCAGAAGTTCTCGGGAGCCAAAGCCACCTGGAAACCCACACGCACACACGTCATAACTGCACAGGGCAGCCGCGTCCCCGGGGGCGTCATCACACCCACCTCTGCCCATGTGCTGCAGGAATCGGTGAGGTGCAGCAGAGCCAGCAGCACCGATGAACTGCCCAGCCAGGGCCCTCGACACGGCCCTTCCCAGCACCTCCTCACTGTCATGGCACTGGAGAGCAGCGGATGGCTGTGGCAGGCCCCAGCATCCCAGGGTGGCCTCAGTGCGCCCCTACCTGCTGCGGGCCTGCCGGCCTGCTCAGCACAGACCCTATCGGAGGCTGCTCATGACGGCCCTGGTCCCTTGGGACATCCACCCAAACTGGGGGTCTTGCCACTACACAAGGTGTGGGGGCCACGAGGGCAGGCCAAAGCCTGGAGCTGGGCCCAGGAGGGCCACCAGACGGAGCAGACCTGCCAGAGGTACTCACCTTCCAGGGACAGAAGGTGGAGGGGGTGGCTAGGGCTGCCGTGGGGGGGCTCAGAAAACCCCGAGGGCAAGTCCCAAGCCAGCCTGATGAGGGACTCTAGGGAAGGCGCGGTCCAGGCCTGTGGACGGCCCAGGCAGGAGCTTCCTTCCTTCCTGCGGCCAGTCCTATCTGGCACGGGCTCCGGCCAGGTGGCCCAGCTCCAGGACAGGGGGTGCCCCCTCTGCCACAGCAGTCCCCTCCTGCAGCTTTCAGGAAGGCCCCGAGGTGCAGGACAGGGCCAAGGGGCAAAGGGCAGTCCTTCCCCGCAGGCCGCCAAGCTCTTGCCACCTGTCCACTCCCACACATCACCTCCTGCCCTCCTCACTGCAGGGCTGCTCCTCCTCCTCCTGTCCGTCTCATGAGCCTGCACCCCACTCCTCCTGTGGCCTCCTGGGAACCCCAAGCACATGCACATGCGCACACACACACAGAGGCAGTCCAGGAAGTACAGCTCCTCAGAGAACACAGTGTTCCCTCCCTGCCCCGCCACCCGCCCCAGCCAAAGGCCCAGATCCTGGGGGAGCGGAAGTTGGCGCTGCCGTGGGTGCAGAGGCGGGGAACTGGCCTAGCTCCAAGCCTTAACCCGGGGTGGCTGGGGAGGGTCAACTGGAAGACAGACCACCCCGTTCTGCCCACCTGCCACCATGGAAACAAAGACCCAGCCCAGGTCAGACAGGAGCCAAGGCCAAGAGAGACTCCTCCCACCAGGGTCCTGGCGAGGGGCCCCTCAATCAGTCGAAACCCTGACACTCCCATGCCCACCCAAAGCTCCTACTGGCATCCATGAGGTAGCCATGCTCATCCCTCTTGTCCCCACTGGCAGAGTCACAGGCAAGGGCAACTCTTGCACTGGCCATGACCAGGGCAGGCCGGCAGGGTGACCCAGGTCCTGTGGTCCCCGTGGTGGGCTAACCCTGAGTTGGACTGTAGTCTACTATCAGGCACACGAGGCCCTGGGCAAGGCTCCTGTGGCTTACAAGAGCAGGGCCAGGACAGGCCAGAGGCTTATGAGCAAACGGGCCGAACCCCTCTGCTCAGACAGGTGCCCCGTCCATTCCCAGCAGCACTGGCTCCAACTGCCACCCAGCGCAAGGGACCCTGACTAGGCCCCAGCCCTGCCTCCCAAGATGGAGCCCTTCCCAGCAAAGGGAAGGCCTGATAGAACTGTTGGCCATGGCAGACCTGTCAGAGGGAGGGACGCACAGCTGCCCACCACAGCCTGGCCATTCAAGGCTGAACCGTGCATGGTGGGGGCTCCATGGGGGCTGGACCGAGTATGGGGGGGCTCCTACTGGGGCTGGACCAAGCGTGGTGGGGGCTCCATGGGGGCTGGACTGTGTGTGGTGGGGGTGCCATGGGGGCTGGACCATGCGTGGTGGGGCTCAATGGGGCTGGACCGTGCATTGCGGAGTTCAATGGGGCTGGACCGAGCGTGGTGGGAGCTCCTACTGGGGTTGGACAGCGCATAGTGGGGCTCCATGGGGGCTGGACCGTGCGTGGTGGGGGCTCCTACTGGGGCTGGACAGCGCATAGTGGGGCTCCATGGGGGCTGGACCGTGCGTGGTGGGGGCTCCTACTGGGGCTGGACAGCGCATAGTGGGGTTCCATGGGGGCTGGACCGTGCGTGGTGGGGGCTCCTACTGGGGCTGGACAGCGCATAGTGGGGTTCCATGGGGGCTGGACCGTGCATGGTGGGGGCTCCTACTGGGGCTGGACAGCGCATAGTGGGGCTCCATGGGGGCTGGACCGTGCGTGGTGGGGGCTCCTACTGGGGCTGGACAGCGCATAGTGGGGCTCCATGGGGGCTCCTACTGGGGCCGGACAGCGCATAGTGGGGCTCCATGGGGGCTGGACCGTGCGTGGTGGGGGCTCCTACTGGGGCTGAACAGCGCATAGTGGGGCTCCAAGGGGGCTGGACCGTGCGTGGTGGGGGCTCCTACTGGGGCTGGACAGCGCATAGTGGGGCTCCATGGGGGCTGGACCGTGCGTGGCGGAGTGGGAGAGTCACTTACCTGTGCTTCTCTAATTCGTTATGTGAAGACCTGTTTAAAGAGACAGAAAGACACAGCTTCACTCTGCTGTCCGGTCCTGGGGAGGCCTTGGGCTTGGGACTGGAAAGTATAGGGCCAGGGAGAGCTTGCACCCAGCCACAGGGAAAGGCAGGTGCCCAGGACCGCCGGACCATGTAGGGAGGCCCATGGGTGCTGAGGGCAGCAGGAGCAGCTGGGCCTCCAGCCAGAAGGGTGGGGGGGCCTGGGAACAGCAGCCGCCTGGGCACCTTAACTGCCTGCCTCTCGGCTCGCCACACCCCGAGGCCAGCTGTGTCCTTGCAGCCGACATGGGGCCGGCACAGAGGACTGCTCCCGTAGCAAGCACTGAGCCATGCCCCGGGAGACGGGGTCCCTGTCCAGACATCATCAGCACACCACCAGGCCTACGGGGACGGCCAGGAACATGCAGCCACAGCTTGGGCAGCCCGCGAGGGCATTCCGAAGGACAGATGCCTGCTGGGGTAGCAGGTACAGGGGACGCAGCCGCTGCCGACCCCTGCCCCCAGCTGGAACACCGTTCAGCACCCCAGGAGGATGAGCCCCCTCAAGAACAATGAAGCCACGGAACCAGCTCCCAGCTCCATAACCCTCCAATCTGGGGCTGGGGAACCCCTGGGCCTGCCAGACTGCCACACACACAAGTAGAGGGTTCAGGCCATCTTGGAACACACCTATCGCAAGCCCTGAGTTCTGCTCCTTCCAGAAGCTTCTGCAAACCTGTGCCCACCTGGCCTTGCTTTCCCTTGCTCCAGGAAGCTCGGACTTGGTGTCTCCCTCTCCGGGCCTGATGCCCACGCTGTCCGTGCCAACCTCTGCCCCAGCTGACGTGGTAAAGGTAGAGGAGGGCCCAGGCCTCTGTAATTTTGGGGGTCGTCCAGGGCTCTTCCCGCCCCACCTGCCGGTAGCTGAGGGTGTCAGGGAGCCTGCCTGCCCCTCCAAGGACAGCACCTGGCTGAACCTCACGCTGCAGGCTCAGCAGGCATCGTGGCAAGGTGGGGTGGGGCAGCCTGGGGGACAGTTCCCTGGGGACAGTGTTTAGGGCACTCCCCCTGCTCCTGGCTCCAGCCCCTCCCATGTGCTCCCTGCTCTCAGCACTGTACAGGCTCCTGGAACCCCTCCGTACCCTGTGAGCAGCCACCCGCTCTCACCCTGAGCCCCACAGCGACCTGGACCCTGCCCTTGCTTCAGCAAGACCAGGAGACTCACAGCTGGGGGGCAGGGACTGAGGCCTCCACGGAAGGGGCCTCCACGGAAGAGGCCGCCACAGGCCCTGGCCAGTGGGACTGCAGTGCACCAGGGTGCACCTGGCTGGGAAGGCCCAGGAGCCCCAGGGTCTCTGTGCCAGTGCACAGTGTGGAGGGTGGCCAGCGTCCCGCTGGGGACGCAAGCCGTGGCAGGAGAGGGAGGCTGGAAGCAGATGGGCGAAACACATGGGACATTCGGGGCATTCGGGGACAAGAGGACGCCTCGGCCACCAGACTGGTGGTCGGCTTCTGGCCTTGACCAAGGAGGGGGTCTCGGGGCCATGGGGCACCGGTGCACAGCAGGGGACGGAGGCTGGGCGACAGACATGGGTTCTGGCCAGGGCAGCTCCCTGGCAGGCCCAGGCCGCCACAGAGCTGTGTCCCCAGGGTCAGCCCCTCCTCTCCCGAGCCCAGGCAGGCCACAGGAACGAGCCGCACCCTTCGCACAGCTCAAGCCCCTCAGGGGCAGAGGCCAGGGTGTGCCAGGGGCCCCTGTGCATGGCAGCCTGGGGGAGGCACAGCCCCAGGAAGCTCACCCCCTCCTCCCGCGGCATAGCTCTAAGTTTGTGCACAGTCAGCACCCCCCAGCGCTCAGGGGCCGCTGTGAGGAGCCTGCCCCCCTCCTGCATCTGCGCCCAAGAACGGGACCTAGCACCTGTGGCGGCGGCTTCACGGGGCTGAGGGTCTGGCTCCTTTGTCTGAGCTCCCTGGGGATGCGGGATGGCCAGCCTAGCAGTGGGGGGCAAGGGACAAGCAGGCGTCAGGGCCGCAGCGCCCTACACCGGGCACGGGTCAGCACCGACTGGCAACTCTGCCCCTGCCCGGAAAAGTCCAGCACAGGTCAGGGGCGGGAGCGGCTGCGGGAGGAGACCCCGGGGCGGCCGGGCTGTACGCGTGGCACTGTTTACGCGAGAGACCAAGGAGGCGCGGCCGCGGGAAGATGGCGACGGCGCGGGCGGGGCTGCGGCCGGGCGGGGCTGGGCAGCCGGGGCCCCGGGCGCGCCTCCTCCTCCAGGCCGGCCGCCGGGGCGCGCAGCAGCGGCCGGGGCTGTCGGGGCCCGGGCCGGGCAGTGCTGGGCACGGGGGACTGCGGGACGGGATTCGGGAAGCCGGGCGGACCCGGCGGGACGGGGGGCGCGCGGGGAGCGGGCGGTACCTGTTGTTCGGGGCCTTGCGCGCCAGGCCCGCCGCCTTTGTTTTCTTCCTGGCGAAGTCGCCGTCGAAGGGCAGGACGGAGGCGTAGCCGTGCTCGGCCTCTGCGGACAGACGGGCTCGGTCAGCGCGGCGCCCTCCCCCGCCGGCCGCCCCCGCGAGCCCCGGCGGGCAGCAAGCGGCGGGGGCCGGGGCGGGGAGCAGGGCGCGCGGGGCGCGGCTACCTCGGTCCCTGCGCTCCAGGTACTCGGCCGCCTCCAGGAGGATCAGCAGCGAGTTGAGCTCCATCCTCCCGCGCGCCCCGCGCACTCGGGACGGCGGCGGCCGCTGCCCGGCCGGCTCCGCTGGCCGCCCGCCCGCCCCGCGCGCGCGCCCGGCCGCCCCACTTCCCCGCCGCGGCCGGACTCCCCGGAGCGCTCGGCCGCCACCCTCCGCCTCGGGCCCTCAAATTGACACCTCAGGGCGAGCGGCGGCGGCGCCGGCCAATGGCGGGCGGCGCTGCGGCTGCGGGAGGCGGGCGCCACGCCGGGCCGCGGCCAATAGGGGCGGGCCGGGCGTGTTGACAGATGCCGAGCGCTGCTCCGATTGGCCGGCCGCTGTAGTAACAATTTAGAAGCCCAAGCTTAGCAACAGCACGTGGTGGCCCAGCCCCCGCGCTCGCCGATTGGCGAGCGCCGTGCATGTTAAGTAGGTGCTACGTGTTCATTGGCTCAGGGCGGCCTATGTAAAACAGGAGCCCCACGGACCAATGGGCGGCGGCGGGGCGTGCGGCCAATGAGGACGCCGCGGCCGGATGCGTTGCCGGGAGGAAGCGAGGCGCGCAGGTGCTGCGGACGGCCCGTTAAGATGGGGCCCGGGGTCCACGCTCGGGACTCACGCTCGGGCTCGGGGTCCACGCTTGGGCCCGGGTCCACGCTCGGGACTCACGCTCGGGCTCGGGGTCCACGCTTGGGCCCGGGTCCACGCTCGGGCTCGGGGTCCACGCTCGGGTTCGGGGTCCACGCTCGGGCTCGGGATCCACGCTCGGGCTCGGGACCCACGCTCGGGCTCGGGACCCACGCTCGGGCTCGGGACCCACGCTCGGGCTCGGGACCCACGCTCGGGTTCGGGATCCACGCTCGGGCTCGGGATCCACGCTCGGGTTCGGGACCCACGCTCGGGGCTCGGGACCCACGCTCGGGCTCGGGATCCACGCTCGGGGCTCGGGACCAACGCTCGGGCTCGGGACCCACGCTCGGGTTCGGGATCCACGCTCGGGTTCGGGACCCACGCTCGGGCTCGGGGTCCACGCTCGGGCCCGGCTCCACCCTCGGGCGCGCAGGATCGGAGCACGTCCACTGGGCGAGGAGTCCCTCGGAACGCGTCGTGTGCCCTGGCCTGGTTGGGGGAGGGCTGCGCGTTCTGTGTCGGACCTGCAGCTCGCTGCGTCCCGCAGGGCAGGTGTGGCTCGGCCCCCAGTACCCGAACCTGGCCCAATGGCAGCACGCCCCTTCCCCCATCGCCGACTCCTGGAACTTCCCTTTTGGATGCGCTGGCTGGAGCCTGCCCGTGCAGGATAGAGGGTGTCCCCAGGCCTCGGGGATTCCTGGGTCACAGCTGCATGTGGGGTCTCTCGGGGATCCCAGCAGAAGGGGGCTGAGTGCATGACCCCGCGCACGCGGGCTGCCTGCCTTGGGGGAGACCGACGCCGCGTCCTGCGCTTTCCTGTCCGCCTGTGCCACCTGCCCCGCAGGACCCGCCGCCGCTGCGTCCCCTGCTCGAGGCTGTCACCTGGGCCCCTACCAGCGCCTGGGCATGGCCCCCCTACCCCCACCCCTTGAGGAGGTAGAAAAGAGGGTTAGTAAGGCTCCCCAGCTGGGATTCAGCAGCTGGCAAGGTGTGGACCACTCGGTGAATTCTGCCTCTCCGCCCCGGGGCCGGTGCAGGTACGCAGTGTGGCTGTGGCACACTGTCTTCCTGCCAGCCTGGGGATCGTCAGCCACCACCCAGGCTCCTATGGGACACCCCACCCCAGCCGCACCCAGCACCCGGTGCTCCCCTGCGCCTGCGTGCTCGCCGTTCCCTGGGAGCAAGGTGTGGAGCTGTGTCCAGGGCGAAGCGGGCATGATGGGCGACCTAGCCAGGGGCTGCGCTGGCCTGCACCGTCCCACACCCGGGGCCGGGCGGGAAGGGGAAGACCGGGAAGTGAGTCTGGGGCAACCATGGGGGCACGAACGCCACTGTGAGGTGGTGGAGAGGCAGTCCAGACCCAGGCCCCCACATCCCCCTGGCCGACAGTGTGGCTAGCCTGCCCCACAGCACTTCCTCCTGCTGCCCTGCCTGGGTTCCCCTCCCCAGGGGTTGTCAGGTAGGTCCAAGGAGGGACAGATGGGACGCCAGAGAGCAGGGCCTGGGAGGTGACAGGAATGGACCGTCATCCCTGTGGCAGACGGGGCTTCTGCCCCTGGCGCTGCGGCGGGCAGCTGGGCCCAGGAGGCAGACCCCTGGTGGCCCAGGCCGGCCAGCACAGGCACCCGGCCAGGCCTCTGAGTACTTGGGAGCTTCCACAGTGCTTGACACCAAGGACGCTGCTTCCGCTGAGGCCTTGAGGATGCAGGAAGCCACAGGCAGCACAGCTGGCCTGGGAAGATTTTGGCTTCACAAGTTTCCCTAAGTGGCTCATGAGCCCGGGCCACTTAGACAGTTGTCAGTGAAATTAATTTCTTGCAGGGGGAAAAAAATGCAAAAGTAATGCGGGAAGATTCCAAACTTGGATGGGAAGAGAGAAGGTGGAAAGTACAGGCTGAACACCTGCCTCTGTCCGTGGGCCTGCACGGCAGGACAGACGGACCCAGCACGGCAGGACAGACGGACCCAGCACGGCAGGACAGATGGACCTTGCACGGCAGGACAGATGGACCCAGCCTGGCCCCGTGGCCCTGGGGAAGAAGCCTGGGGTAGAGCACTCAGTGGTGTCTGCTCTGTATGCCAGCTAGGAGGGGATGGGCCCTGCCCGCCTGTCCCCAGCTCACTGTGGAGTTGAGAGCCCAAGGAGCAGGTGGGGGCCCGGTGCACAAACTGCTCCCCCATCCTGGTGAGGGTGGTGGGGGGCAAGACAGCCCCCTACACACACACACACTCAACTGTAGAAACATGCAGAGGCTCCAGACCCTGGGTCCGGCTGCACTGGGGGCCTGTCCGTCTCCCTGGAGGAGGTAATGGGTGAGGACCCTGGAGGACTCCACCATCTTGGCGCTGCCCTAGAGTTGCATGGCCAGCGTCCGTGTCTCAGTGGTCATCAGCATGGCTGCTGGCCTGGCCACAGGCCAGTTGTGCAGTGAGCCCCAGGGGCAGCCAGCAGGGCAGCTTCAGAGGCCAGGGCGGAGAGAAGCCGTGGGAGGAGTCTGCAGTGATGCAGGGGGCTTGGGTGGTGGCCTGGGCATGGGAGGGAGCCCTGGGGTGCTGTGAGCCTGAGGGCTCCCTCAAAGTCCCAAGGCTTCACTTGGGGTCCTGCGAGCATGCAGGCTGCAAGTGGCATGGCCCAGCAAGGACCTCTCTTGTGGCTGGAAGCTGAAGGGGCGGATGCTGCCAGGCCTACACAGGACCCAGGAGGCAGTGGGGGTGCCAGTTCAGAGCAGCCCAGCCTCCCTGTCAGGGATGTCCATGGCTGGCAGGGCTCCGGGAGTGGTGGTCTGGCACAGGCAGCCAGGGCAGTCTTCCTGCTCCTTACCCCTACCCCAGCTCTGCCAGGCAGCTCACTGCCCTGCACATGACTTGAGGGCCAGAGCCTGGGGCGGGGGAAAGGCAGTAGGAGGGCCCACAGTGTAGGGGACCCCGGGATCACCTGGCCCTGCCCCACTCTGCCCCCAAGCCAGCTGTGAGGAGAGCATGAGGCCAGATGCTTCCTAAGCTGTAATGTTTAGGACCAGCCCCGTCATCGCCAGATCCCAGCTCTGTCCTTGGGGTTGGTAGGGCCAAGTGAAGGACCAAGGGCCTGAGTCGGGCTCGGCGACCTCTGCTCAGGGAACCACTGCTTCCTAGACAAACAGGACAGGTGGCCACTCTGGGCAGTACCCAGACCTGTCCACACCTACCATCCGGGGGCCCCAGGAGGGCGCCTTGGAGGGCTGAATACCCCGGGAGTGACGGCAGAGGTAGCCCCCACCCTGCCCCAAATGTCCAGTCGCAGCCCTGCCTCCCCCACACAGGCCTGGACCGTCCTGAGAATGGAGAGAAGTCCCAGCTCCATGGCAGCCCTTAGGCTGAGCCAAACCCCTGACACGCCCTTAAGAGGCAGCTGAGACCACAGTCGCCCCTGAATGGACCCCAAGCGTGGGTGCTGAGTGCTGACCCACGCCCCTCAGACTCTCTCAGACCGGGAGACGAACAGGCCCCAACAGCAGGGGCTAACCCCCTGCAGGGTCCTGCCCAGGGCCCACTCAGCCTGCACACTGGGTGGGCGCAGAGTCAGCACCTCACCCAGACGAGCCCCAGGCGCACACGGGGTCGGAACCCACACAGGAACAGGCTCACCTGCAATCCGTAAATAGATTTATGGAAATGGTTCTGAGTTACAGCATTTAGAAAATAAAAATAATCATCTCATATATCGTCTCCCTCTGTCATAGACTCTGCCCGCTCCCCCTCCCGTGCCTGTGGACTCGGCCATGACACGGGAACCGGGTTTTGTCCTATAAAAGCAGCAGTGGGTGTGTCCTCTCCCTAAAAATAAAATTGCCATCGTCATTGCAACGTGAAGCCTGAGGGTTAAGCCTGAGGGTGTTCGTGCTGGGGTGCTGGGGCGCTGGGCCATTCACCCAGACCTGACCATGTGGGCTGTGGCCTTGGGAGGTAGCAGGGAGGCGGACAGTCCTGTGACCCACAGGCCCCAGGAACCTGTGCCCGCTGTGCCCTGCACCACCCATAGGTGGACAGTGGTGCCAGGAGCCCTGGGCTCAGCTTCCCTCCCGCCCCTCCCCCTCTGAGAAGAAATGAGATGCGTGTTTTTCAGAAGGGCCCTGAGGTGGGGCCGTGGCAGCAGGGCCAGGCCCTCCCACACCAGAGTGCAGCCAGCATCCGGCCTGGGGTCCCCTCCGGCCAAGCTGACCTCCTGCTGGCCCCGCAGCTGGCCTGGGGTCCCTGAGGTGGGGAGGCCAGGGACAGGGGTCTGGCTGGTTCCATGGCGGCAGTGGCAGGGGCTAGAGGAGATGCAGCAGTGAGGCCCTGGCAGGGCCTGGCAGGGCACAGGCGGGTGGGTGCGGCCCACGTGGCAGCCGTCAGACCGCTGCCCTGTCGCTGCAGAAGGGCGTGACGTGGAACATGTAGCAGTGTGTGCACACACGCACAGGCTTCACCTGCCCGTAGCGGGGCAACGGCGCCGAGTGTGACGAGCAGCGCGAGCAGAAAATCTGGGTGCAGAAGGAGACAGGCGGTGCTGAGCAGGTGCCCAGGGTGCCCTCCCAGACTCCGCCCAACCAGGCCAGGACCCACACCCAGACCACTCCGGGCTCCTGGCCGCGGCCACCCTGCGGGCAGCACCTACCTTCCCACAGCTGCGGCAGTGGTGTCTGCGGCGAATGACGGTGAAGGGGGCTTTGCAAGCGGTGCAGACCCCACAGGCCTCGTCTGGCACCCACTCGGGGGGATCTGACCAGGAAAGCGGGCCTGTGAGCCCCGGCAGGGCAGGCAGGCTGGGGACAGGGTTGGGGAGCCCCAGCTGTGTTCTGTAGCCATGTCCTGTCCCCTCCTCACAGACGCCATCAGGGCATCCCTCTGCAGGGCATCTCACACTCCAGCTGCAGCCAGGCCACCAGGCCTGAGGTTGTCTTGGGGAAGCACTCGCCTAGGTGACCAAGCCCTGGCCTCTGCCCCCTCTGCTGCAGCTCCTCCTCACCTTCCCCCTGGTGCCCAGCATGCCAGGGACCCCACATGCCCACCTGGACCCTAGGAGGGAAGCAGGTAGGAGGCTGCCCCCGCCTCAGAAGCACCATCAGGGCCATGTCTGATCAGAGTAAGGTGGGGGCAGCATCTGAAACCGGCTCCTGTTCCCACCCAGGGCTCCCACGCACCTTCAAAGTCCCCGTCACAGGCCTTGGATGCAAGCTCAGAGGACGACAGTGTCTCCTGGCACAGGGCACAGTCCTCTAGGTTGGCACGGCGCAGCGTCTGGGTGACTGTGAGAAAGACAGAGAGAATGCTGCTCTGCGGTGGCTGCCCAGGTGGGGACTGTGCCGCCCAGCAAGTGAGCCTGCCAGGGCATGTGGCAAGGAGCACCATGGCCTGCAGGCTGCGCCCAGGAGTGCAGAGTGCTGTCACAAGAGTGGAGCAACACCCGTGTCTCTGAGGCCCTGTCAGAAAAAGGCCTCACGCAGTACACCCAGGGCCAGGGCTGGCAAGCATAAACACACATACCTTACCAGGCCTGGTCCACGGCCTGTGCGACCTTGGGGTGAATGATGACAACCCCCCAAGAGCACACAGAGCAGTGAACAGGGGTGGGGTCCTCTTTACTACCTTGGGACGCTTCAGCAACCCAAGGCAGTGACTCTGTACCCATCAGTTCATGTTCTGACGCCCGCTGCATCCCCAGATACCTGCTGCATGAACACTCAGTGTGCAGGTGCAAGCCGAAAATACGAAATCCTGCATGTGTGTGTGAGAGCAGTGTGTGCTCCTGCATGTGTGTGTGAGAGCAGTGTGTGCTCCTGCATGTGTGCGTGAGAGCAGTGTGTGCTCCTGCATGTGTGTGTGAGAGCAGTGTGTGCTCCTGCATGTGTGAGAGCAGTGTGTGCTCCTGCAGGTGTGTGAGAGAGCAGTGTGTGCTCCTGCATGTGTGTGTGAGAGCAGTGTGTGCTCCTGCATGTGTGTGTGAGAGCAGTGTGTGCTCCTGCATGTGTGTGTGAGAGCAGTGTGTGCTCCTGCATGTGTGAGAGCAGTGTGTGCTCCTGCATGTGTGAGAGCAGTGTGTGCTCCTGCATGTGTGTGTGAGAGCAGTGTGTGCTCCTGCATGTGTGTGTGAGAGCAGTGTGTGCTCCTGCATGTGTGAGAGCAGTGTGTGCTCCTGCAGGTGTGTGTGAGAGCAGTGTGTGCTCCTGCATGTGTGTGAGAGAGCAGTGTGTGCTCCTGCATGTGTGAGAGCAGTGTGTGCTCCTGCATGTGTGAGAGCAGTGTGTGCTCCTGCATGTGTGTGAGAGAGCAGTGTGTGCTCCTGCATGTGTGTGTGAGAGCAGTGTGTGCTCCTGCATGTGTGAGAGCAGTGTGTGCTCCTGCAGGTGTGTGTGAGAGCAGTGTGTGCTCCTGCATGTGTGTGTGAGAGCAGTGTGTGCTCCTGCATGTGTGCGTGAGAGCAGTGTGTGCTCCTGCAGGTGTGTGTGAGAGCAGTGTGTGCTCCTGCATGTGTGTGTGAGAGCAGTGTGTGCTCCTGCATGTGTGTGAGCAGTGTGTGCTCCTGCAGGTGTGAGAGCAGTGTGTGCTCCTGCATGTGTGTGAGAGCAGTGTGTGCTCCTGCATGTGTGTGTGAGAGCAGTGTGTGCTCCTGCATGTGTGTGAGCAGTGTGTGCTCCTGCAGGTGTGAGAGCAGTGTGTGCTCCTGCATGTGTGTGAGAGCAGTGTGTGCTCCTGCATGTGTGTGTGAGAGCAGTGTGTGCTCCTGCAGGTGTGTGTGAGAGCAGTGTGTGCTCCTGCAGGTGTGTGTGAGAGCAGTGTGTGCTCCTGCATGTGTGAGAGCAGTGTGTGCTCCTGCATGTGTGTGTGAGAGCAGTGTGTGTTCCTGCATGTGTGTGTGAGAGCAGTGTGTGCTCCTGCATGTGTGCGTGAGAGCAGTGTGTGCTCCTGCATGTGTGTGTGAGAGCAGTGTGTGCTCCTGCAGGTGTGTGAGCAGTGTGTGCTCCTGCATGTGTGAGAGCAGTGTGTGCTCCTGCATGTGTGTGTGAGAGCAGTGTGTGCTCCTGCATGTGTGTGTGAGAGCAGTGTGTGCTCCTGCATGTGTGCGTGAGAGCAGTGTGTGCTCCTGCAGGTGTGTGTGAGAACAGTCATGTGGTACAAATGAGACATTTTACAGCAGGCAGCACAGTTGTTGCCACTCGCCATGGAGTGTGGTCACACCCCCTCTCCTAGAGTCTGCACTGGCTCTGAGGGTTGGCGCCACACTCAGCTTGCCTGGTCTCACCTTTGAGAGGGCTGGCTCAGTCTCCTGGCATGGGAGCAGCAGTTGGCAGCAGGAGACCCTGGCTGTGTCAAGTGCAGGGTCAGGGGCTCTTGCCTTGAGTCCTGGGTGGTCATGACCCATCGGTAAGCTGGGTCGTGGCCACCTCTCTGGGCTGCAGCTTCCCTTCACCCCTGGATCCCACCAGCTGGGGATGCGGCACGTCCCCGGGAGGGGCTGTGGCTGTCTGGGCCTCCAGCACTGGCCTTGCCCCACAGCTGGTGGACAGAGTCCAAATGGGGCACTAACCCTTCTTTAGCTTCTCCTTGTCATCGGCCTCAGGCTTCGTGGCCATGACCTCAAACAGCGTTTTGAGGATACTTCTCAGGTCACTTGCATAGTTTGTCTGCAGCTGGTCGGCCACACCTGAGGGAGCAGGACCACGGGAAGATGGTCAGTGGCACAGGGAAGGCTAGGCAGGCTGGCCCAGCCCAGATCCTGCCAGAGTTCACGGCCAGTGACCGCTCAGGAGGGGAACTTCCCAATGACAGCACAAATCCAGGAGTCATGGGGAGGACAGGGACCACCTAGAGAGCCCCAGGCAGCTGCAGGCCATGGCCACCACCACCAGGCTGCCCTGGCCGCTCTGACACATGGAGCCCCATATGGTGCCCAGATGGGATCTACCCACCAAGCTGCTCCCCAGCCCCCCCCCCAACCACCACTGGAGGCTGTATGTAGCACAGACCCCGGGGCAAGGAGCCCAAGGTGGTGCCCAGCACCTGCTCCCCAGCCCTGCTGCCATGACCCCCACCTGCAGAGAGCCCCTGGCTCTGCTCTCTGCCCTCCAGCAAGAGGGGAGCCCAGCTTTGGAGGCGCTTGTGGAGGGCGAGGCGGGGCTGTCCTCCCTTCCCCTGCTGGGCCTGGACCCTGCACCTGAAATGCAGACAAACAGGCGGTGAACGAGGTCGTGGCTGCTGTGGAACCTGGACCGGATCCGCTCGCGGGCAGCCGCGGGGTCTGTCCCTGGCCCCGTCTTGTCAGAGGAGCAGCGGGCAGCTGTGGAGCCACTGTGCAGGGAAGGAGACAGGGATGAGAGGCGAGCAGTGTCCTCAGCCCTTGGCTGCTGGTGTGTCAGGCCTGGGGTGGCTGGGCGCCCAGCCAACCATACAGACAGATTTGCTTAGAGCCCCCATGGGTGCACACTGGGCCCCACGACCCCGCCAAGGCGAGACCTGTTGCAAGGCAGGGGCTGGACCGCGGAGAGCATCCTGGGTGATGTGGGAGGCCCTGGGCCCCAGTGACAGGTTGCTGTTGTTGGCACGGAGGCAGCCTGATGGCTGTTGAGGCCGAGACAGGCCACTGCAGACATCCTGAGCTCGGGGAGGCCGGAGGACTCCCCCCAAGAGCCTCTGGGGGCCGGGAGGCCCTGCCAGGCTCCCCTGGGAGCTCCCACACAGCCCCTCCACCACCTTGCCTGGGCCGGCTCTGGCTCCCCTGTGACTGAGCCACAGCACTCACCTCACACACGCAGGGTACTGGAGAATAGTCGTCTCCCACCATCTGTCCGAGCAGACTCTCAGATGCTTTTTGTGATTTTACTTTTGGAAAAGAAATTTCAATTTTCTAATTGGAGAAGAAGAGTCAGAGAGCTGCCATCTGCCACTTCACTGCCCCAGTGCTCCAAGGCTCAGGACCGGGCCCAGGTGGGAGCCAGGATCCCAGGCCAGGGCTCCCACAGTGGATGGCACGGACCCAGCAACGTGAGCTGGCACTGCTGCCTCCCAGGGCCGGGCCAGCAGGAAGCTGGAGCCGGAGCCCAGGACTCCGACAGCCGCTTGCTGGGGTCCGTGCAGTAGGTGTGGAGGACACGAAGCTGTGAACAGAAGCTCCCCGTTGCAGGCAGGGCCGCAGGGAGCGTCCCGCCGTGTGACAGGGCAGGGCCGCAGGGAGCGTCCCGCCGTGTGACAGGGCAGGGCCGCAGGGAACGTCCCGCCGTCCCGCCGTGTGACAGGGCAGGGCCGCAGGGAGCGTCCCACCGTGTGACAGGGCAGGGCCGCAGGGAACGTCCCGCCGTCCCGCCGTGTGACAGGGCAGGGCTGCAGGGAGCGTCCCGCCGTGTGACAGGGCCGGACGTCTCTGCATCCACCTGAAGGCAGCCCCACCTCCCTTTGCAAGGACACCGGACAACCTGCTGTTTCTGTAATCTGTTGAGGCATCGTCTGCCTCTGCGGAGTTGGTCTTTACTATCAATGTGAGCTTGGAAGTTGATGCTGGCAAAGGGGCCTTCTACAGTTCATGCTGTCTCTGTCTCTGCTGCCCCCATTGACCATCCCTGATTTTTTTTAAGATTTATTTATTTATTTATTTATTGCAAATTCAGATACACAGAGAGGAGGAGAGACAGAGAGGAAGATCATCTGTCTGATGATTCACTCCCCAAGTGAGCACAATGGCCAATGCTATGCCATCCGAAGCCAGGATCCAGGAACTTCTTCCGGGTCTCCCACACGGGTGCAGGGTCCCAAGGATTTGGGCCGTCCTCGACTGCTTTCCCAGGCCACAGGCAGGGAGCTGGATGGAAGTGGAGCTGCCGGGATTAGAACTGGCGCCCATATGGGATCCCGGCGCGTTCAAGGCGAGGACTTTAGCTGCTAGGCCATGGCGCTGGGCCCAACCATCCCTGATCTTTAGGTCCCTCCTTCTGTGAGGATTGTAGTAGGAATGTGTTACTGATTGATATGCGCCATCTATTGAGAACTTCCATTGAGAGCTTTAAGGTGAAACAAACGGCAGAATTCTCCTTGGAAACACCCACCTGACCATGACGTAAGAAGTCTGTGCCAGAGCTGGTGACTGCTTCTGTATCAAAAAAGCGGACAGCTTTGTCGTATCGTCCATTATGATCATAAAATCATAGGTCCATTGTTCCCCCTCTTGTCTACTCCACGCTCCCTTCCCGAGTTCCGAACTCGGCCACACGTCAATAGCTGCTGGGGAGGCTTGCCTTCTAGAATCAGTGTGTCTAACGTATGCATTGCCCCTTCTCCCTCCCTGTGGCAGTGGGCCCACTGGCTGGCTCTCACGTCAGCAGCTGCCCTCCCTGGTGCCTGCTGCGGGTTTGAGAGGGCAGCCCCGCCATAGCACCAGGCATGGGAGGACCACAGCCAGCCTCAGCTCACTGGCCGGAGGGCGCCTGGGGCAGCCGCCCTGGGCACAGACACAGCACCAGAGGGGGCAAAACTGGGACTGCCCAAACCCCACAGGTCAGGTGCTGGCGCTCTCAGAACCCTGGAGACTGGGCTGGCACTGGCAGCCAGGGCTGAGAGGGGCGGCAGAGACATGCCACGCGTGAACACTGAGGCCAGGGGGCTGGGGCTGGAGCAGCTCTGGGTGTGGAGGCACAGGACTGCGTGGCCTCACTGTGCTCTAGTGGTGGGCCTTAGCCTGTCCTGATGCCAGCTCCACGTGACTTCGCCCAACCTCATGCAGGGCCTCCGACACCTGGGACCCAGGTCCTGAGAGTCAAGGGGCTAGGGGACCACCCAAGTGTGCAGCGCTGTGTGATGGATAACCATGGGAGCTAAGGAGACACCATGCCCGCGGCGGCTGTGACATGGCTGGAACTTGAGGACATCACAGAAACAGATACCTCCCCGCAACGCCACTTGCATGGGGTCCCCAAAGAGTCTGAGCTTAGGGACAAAGCAGATTTGTTAGGGGGCTGTGTTGCCAGGGCTGGGCAGTGGGGGGCCATGCCGGAGTCCCGGGGGCAGAGCAGGCAGGCTCTAGGCGTGACCAGGCCTCACAGCCCGGATGGCACAGTTAAAAAGAATACAGGGCTGGGGAAATAGAAGGAAGTGAAGGGGGTAAAGGGAGCAGGGCCGCCACGAGGCAGGGCAGTGAGCACAGCCTCCTGAGGGCACCAGAGCAGGCAGATGCCACCGGCAGTCGGTCACACAACGTGGAGTGAGAGCTGCAGGGCGTCAGGCAGCCCTGCGAGGGCTACAAGAATCCGGCACTGTGGGCACACGTGTGCATGCGTGGAGGTCGGCTCATGGTCTGCAGACGGCCATGTCCGCACGCTGCAGACCACACCGCTGGCGGGGCTCTACAAGCTCATCTGAAAATCCCCACCACCACCACCTTGGAACCCACATGCACACATACTCTTAAAGAACTCACGGAACCATGTTCTAAGGAAAAGCAACTCTGCAGGGATTTCAAATTTGTTTTCATCATAATAAACCTACTGGGGTTGGTGCCGTGGTATAGCAAGATGAGCCTCCACCTGCAGCATCCACACTTCATATGAGCACTGGCTCAGTCCCGGCCACCCCACGTCCCATCCAGCTCCCTGCTCGTGGGACCCTGCACCCACGTGGGAGACCCAGAAGAAGCTCCTGGCCCCTGCCTTCGGGTCAGCTCAGCTCTGGCCTTTGTGGCCACTTGCGGTGTGAACCAGTGCATGGAAGGTCTCTACCTTTTCTAACAAAAATGTTGCTTTTTTACCTAAACACACTTTTAAAAAATCACTGGGTTCTGGCACACAGTCCCAGAGTTCTCCTGGGAGCGGGGGGCAGACGGACACAGCCCCCCAGTGCACACTGCACACAGGCAGCCACCTGCTGCTGAGGGGTCCGGTGCAGGGGAAGGAGCCCTTGCTCAGCCCACCAGGGGGCGCTCTCCTGCACTGAGGTCTCACTGCCCTCCGCTTGGGGACTTGAAAGGCGCTTGGAGCTGCCCCACCTGGATGGACACCAGACAGGCACCAGGTGCCCCTAACTGCCTCAGAACCTGGGGTGCCCTGCCGGGGGCCTCCTACACTTCACCACATCCTGGGTCTCATCCAATGCTACCCCCTTGGGGCCTGCCCAGCGGACTGCCCTCTCCAAGGGGGTGGCCCTACCCAGTATAATACATTGTACACACCAGTTCCAAGGCTGAGACCTGAATAAAGGGGCAGGGCCTGCCTGGGCCAAGGTGCCAGCAAGCGGCTGAGAGCTCTTCTGGGGGCAGGATGGTGGTGTGGAAAGAGCTGGCTGCTAGGTAGCAAGGTGGCTCAGAGCGGTGCTGGGGGCCAGCTATCCTGAGTCACGCCAAGCCAGGCCAGCACTCTCCAGCTGTGGCTGCTAGAAGGACAACAGTGCTGTCACTTGCACACCCCTCCAGGGCAGGTCCTGCTGGTACCAGCAGGTGGCATGAGGGGAGTCAGGCCCTCACACTCCAGACCAGTTCTGGTCTCTCTGGAGCTCAGGGAATTCCGAGTCTGATCCTATTTTGAAACTGCCTGGGGGTGGACGGTGGGTGGGAGGCCCTGGTGCAGGGCTATGGGACTCCAGCCGATGCCCTGCACCTACCAAGAGGATGGGAGACATCTGTGGGCAGGATGTGCTGTTTCGGGTCCCACGGGTACCAGGGCAAAGCGGGGCTGGCCGCTCTCTCTGTCACCTGACCTCAACATCTGTCTTCTGAGCCCAGCAGGCCTCGCGGGAGGCCCGGGGATGAGGGCTTAGTCAGGCCTGGTCAGCTGGGCCAGCAGTGTACTGTCTCTGTGTGTCAGAGGCTACTATCTGCCGTGGACAAGGACATGCCATCCAAGTCGAGGGACAGCAGAGGCCCTGACACGAGACCACCCCTGGCTCACTGCATCTTACAGCCGCTCTTCCACCCCAGAGCATCCTCCACTTACCCAGGCCAATGCCAGGCCAGCCGAGCACACAGGGTCAGGCAGTACAGTGAGGCCCCAGGGACCAGGCCTGGGCCCTGGGCTGTGACAAGATTTCCGAGCCAGAGTCCCCGGGGTTGTGCGTGAGGATGGCAACGGTGAGAACGGCATACGCAGGGAATGGGGACAGCCATGTCCGGCGCCAGCCCCAGTCACTCGGGGACAACCGCTGTCCATTGTCCCCATCAGCTTCACTAGCTGCCCGGAAGGCACAGCAAGATCATCAGACAGCAGCACTGAGGTGGGGGAAGATGGGAGCGCCTCGACAGCACATGGACATGGGCTGTGGACCCACCCTGGGCTGGCAGCGTGCACGGCTCACCGCCCACAGCGACATGGGGTCCAGTTTGTTTCTTGGGTTGGGAAACCGAGTTGGGGTGCAAGCCCTGGTATGGCACCCCTACAGCAACAGCAGTGAGTCGGCGTCCCCCCTCAAGCGGCAAGATTCCCTAAGCCACAGTGGCGCTCAGGCCAGGGAGCTCGGCAGAGAGGGAGCCCGCAGCACACCTACAGCGGGACCAGGAGCACAGGTGCTGCCGGCCTGGGCGGCCATGGCTCCTGCAGCTGGTGCTGCCAGGGACCCAGGCAGGAGCACAAGTGCACCCGCTCAGAGAGCAGGGCCTTCACCTGAGGGCCGGGGACTCATCCAGATGCTGGACCTGAGGGCTGAGGCTAGACCGCTGATAAGGAAAGGAACCAACAGAAAGAGGAGGACAAAGGCTCTTCTAGAACGTTCCTATCACCAGGTCAGCTCATCCGTGTCTGGTGACAGGACATGGAAGAACGTGGCTGGAGCTGGAGAGTTCTCTTGGTTCCAGACTGCAGCTGACGCAGGCCAGCTCACCGCCCGGTCTGCACAGGGCCCTGCCCTCCCACTCCACTCGCTCCGGGGGCCTTGGAGGAATCTGGCCCTGTAGCCTGGCACACCTCAATCCTGTGGAGTGCCTCCCAACTGTGTCTACCTGTGGCCTCGACGCCACACAGGACGGGCTACAGGGGTCCTGGGGCAGGTCAGGGTGGAGAGAGTGGGGTGGAGCGAGGCGGGATTAGGGGGAGGGGTGGTATGCACTGCCGTGGCTGCCAGCCGGGGGGCCTGGGTGTGAGTCCAGCTTCCTGCCTGTGAGCACCAACGCTTGGGAAATGTGGCCTGAATTCCCCCTCTGGCCTGCCCAGCATCGCTGCTGTGGGTCTCGAGAGTGACCCACCGCGTGGAAGCCTCCACTTCCTCCTGCTCCTCACGCTCCTCCGGCTCTCCGAAGTCCCAGTTCACACACACAAAGGTAATGTCAGTGTAGACAGCAACACGCTGGGGAGACCTGGAGCCCCAGTCTGCGATGGGCAAGATGCCAGCTGCACCCAGCCTGGGAGGCCACTGGGCAGTTCCTCAGAAAGGGAAGAGACCCCGGGGGCCCACTGCCTCCTGTCAAGCCAGGTACCTGCCAGGCTGCGACCGGGGCCCACACAGGAGCGCTCCCAGTGCACGGCCATCACGACGTGGGACTCACACACACAGTCAGATGGTTGTGCACACAAAGAGCCACCAGGACACCCTGCCCACGCGTGAGCTTCGACAATGTCACACACACAGACAAGCCTATTGGCAAGTGACCCTGCTGACGTGGACGGTCCATGAGAAGGAGGTGGCAGACAGGCTGGGAGAGGCTGCGAGAGCCCAGCCCAACCACCAGGGCACAGGGAGGGCTGCCCAGCCCCAGCCTGCCGCCTCTGAGGGCCATGGGCTCCTGGCCAGCAATTTGCACGAGCCGCCAGGAAGGACGGGGCTGTGTGCTGCCCCGAGGCCCGGGTAGAGAAGGCAGGGTGCCTCCCTGTGCAGACCTGGCAGCCTCGGGGCTCCGGCTGCAGCCACTCCACCCAGCCCAGCACCACAGCTTGAGCCCTGGCCCAACCCTGGCCAGGAAGGCGGGTCCTAGGGAGACACCCCCATGGGCACAGCTGAGACACAGCCATGCCTCCTCTCCTTCTATCTCCAGCACTTGCTCAGTCGGCCATGACCCAGATATACCTGGGGCTTGAGAGGCAAAGGGGACAGCCCACGGGGGGCTCTGGAGCAGCCCCAGAAGCAGAGCGGAAGGAAAGAGCCCTCTAGCGTGCCCCCATGGCATGAGCCGAGCAACAGTGCCAAGACTGTCCTGGAGACACCACCTGAGGGTCTTGAACCCTGTGTGGCCCCAGGCTCTTGCTCATTTCCAAGGGTCTGCACCCCCTCCTTCCGCCCTCTGTGAGCCCAGAAGCCACGGGGGTCAGCAAGTAGCAGTCCCGGTCGCAGCCAATGGACACCGCCCGCCCTGCAGCGCACCCACACACGTGCCAGGCAGTCCGGGGGTTCTGTGCCGCGTGCATGCCTCTGGGTCCCGGGGGGGCAGCCACAGAAAGCTGGCTTTCGGGGTACACTTGGCAGTGGTTTCACTTCCCGTCGCTGAGTCCCGAGTCGCTCCAGCCTGCCCCACTCCTCCCACGCACCTGGTCCTGGGCCCAGCCCCCACTGGCACACAAGGCCCCTGCGCCTCAGCCACCAGCACACGCGCAGATGCAAACCCAGGGCAGCCCTGAGCGGCTCTTACCTGGAGCCGGGCGGGCACAGGGTCTCCTCGTCCGCCCTCTCTCCTGGTTGCCTCTGCCGTGCGGCCTCTGGGGGCCTGCCAGCGTCTTGTGCCATGGCCTCAAGCTCTCTCTGCCGACTCACAGCTTCGCCCACTCCCCGAGAGTCGTTAGCTGCGTTCCCTGGGGGACCCGAGGTGGGCACCAGGCACTTACTGGAAGCAGCGGCCACAGGCTCCTGCCTGTCGGAGGTGTCTTCCGCGGGCAGTGGGGCCTCTGAGCTGGGCTGGGCGGTGTCCAGCCCCGTGGGGCCCTTGTCCCCAGCCTTGGCTGGGCCTGCAGCGTAGGAGGCGCCAGTGACGCCCTCGGGGCTGCGCCTGCCTTGCAGTCTCTCCCCGCTGTCCTCCCTGCTGTCCCCACAGCTCCCGCAGCACACGCAGGAGTGAAGGAGGCCATTGGTGGTCGTGCTGCTGGGTTCATGGGCACCGCCCTCTGTCCCCTCAGCCCCCGGAGCCGAGATGTCCCGGCCTGCAGGGGCATCTGAGGGGGCAAGCGACTTGGGGTTGAAGATGACAGTGGCAGAGAGCTTCATACCCCCTGTGCGGTGGGCGATCAGCTCAGCTGCCTGGGCGTCGTCAGCGCTCACCTCCCAGCTGTCCAGGTACGGCCGGCCGTCCAGGCAGCTGCAGGAGCTGGAGCCCAAGAGGCCAGCCGGCCGCCCCTCGATGGCCTCCACATTGTCGTTACTCACGCCCAGCTCCTCAGCTGTGGGCCCTGCTTCTGGCCTTGACCCTCCGTGCTCCCCAGTGTCACCTGCCCCTGCAGACGCGCTGGGTGGGGCCGCGGGGCCTGTGGGCACCTCGGCTGTGCCCTCCACGTCATCCATGAAGAACACTCGCTCTTCGTCGTCACTGCCCAGCCGGGGTCGCGCACTGCCCGGAGAGGCCTCGTGCCCACGGGGGCTGCCCCCGACGCCCGGCCTGTGAGCAGGCGACAGCAGGGATGACATCGCATCCCCAGCCCGGTGGACCATGCGGCTGAGCTGCTCCAATTCCTGCTCGTCATACTGCATGGAGCAGGCCAGCTCTGCCTCCGGGGCTTCGGCCTGGGCTGGCAGCGGCTCCTCGGGGGGCAGCGGCGCAGGAAAGGCCTCGGCCCGGATGGGCAGCTCGGCGTCCTGGGAGACGCAGAGGCTGCGTTCCAGCGTGTGCAACTCGTCCTCCGTCAGCGTCTGCAGCAGGTCCCTGTGAGGGCCGGACGCAGAGCAAGGGTGAACGTTCCACAGGCCACCGCCACCCTCATTCAAGAGCACAGGGCACCTGCGTGTCTGTGCCCCGACAAAGTAGCGGCAGTGACACCCGCAGCCAAGCGCCCCGAGCGCCCCCAGGCCAGCCGCAAGCAGAACGAGGCTCCACGGCCAGGGCTCCGGCTGCCTCCTGCCCACTCAGCAGGAGCTTCATCCTGACCGCCTGCGACCTCCCCCCAGCCCTCGCCCCTCCTATAAGACCCCTGCTGCTGGGGAGCCCTGGTGGGCTTTGCTGCCCCGCCTCAGGGAGGCCCACCTCCCCAGGCATGTGAGCGAAGTGACCAAGTGCCATCCAGCACCTTTGAGATCAGCTGGAGCCCCACTCCAGGGCTCTAGAGTCTACCCACAGGCTCCACAGGGTCCATATGGTCACATCTCGGCATGGCCACCTTGCTGGAGCCTGGGCTCTGAGCTCTCACTTGGGTCAACCGGCCAGGCCTAAGGCCACCTGTGCTGTCTGCAGGCTCTCGGGGGCCACAGGAGGGCCTTCAACCTCAGGAGGCCTTTGGTTCCACCGGTACCCAGGGGGGTGACCTCAGGAGGAGTATCAGGGCCAGAGAGGCCCCCGTAGGATACATACGCCTCCAGGAGCCACAGCCAAGCCCAGTCAGGGACACAGGCCAGCAATGAAGCCAAGGACCGGCAGCTTACAAAGACGCAGACGGGGACTTGGGGCCCAGGCCAGGCTCAGGCAGCATGGAAACACACAGCAGCCTAAGGAGACACCTGCCCTGCCCCTCCCCCAGTCTCCCACCTTATCTTCCGTAGCAGCGTGTGGAAGGGCCGGAACAGCTCGGACATGTCCTCCACCTTGCGGTCCAAGTTCAGCGGTCCATCCGCGTAGACCACAAGGCCGCTGCACGGAGACACAGAAGCCAGAGCGGTGAGGCCTCTGGCACTCGGGCGTGCCTAGGAACCCCCAGCCCAGGCGCACGCTCAGGCCCATGCTCAAAGTTTAGGAAACTCGGGCATCATCTGGATCGGATCGCACCTGCAGCTGCTTGGAGCTGGTGCAGGAGAGACCAGAAACTGCATGGTGGTGTCACCATGAGACCCCAAGCTTCAGCGCGGTCCCGGACGGCTCCCTCCCTGGGCACGGAAGAGCCTGCCTGGCACCTACACTGCCCTATAGGGGCTCTGACAACCGGCCCCACACTGTCCACTGCCCAGACCAGGGACATAGTATGACTGCGAGGTGAGAAGGGGACCTCGCCTGGCATGCTGCCACCAGCCAGGGTAGACTGATCGCCCCTTAGGTGCCCACCTGGATGGAGAGGCATCGCTGCCCAGGCCCCAGACATCTCTGGTCTATAGCCCTGCACCCAGCTCATGAGGGCACCCAGGGGTGTGGCACCTGTGCCCTGGCCTCCTGAGCAGGGCGTGTGTCTGCAGGTGTGGGATGCTACCAGCTCATGAGGGCACCCAGGGAAGTGCACCTGCTGCTCTGTGTCCCTCCAGCTCCCCGCCAGAGCCAGTCCCAGCTGCTCCACGTCCCTCTAGCTCCCCACCAGAGCCAGTCCCAGCTGCTCCACATCCCTCCGGCTCCCTGCGAGAGCCAGTCCCAGCTGCTCCATGTCCCTCCAGCTCCCTGTCACTGAGCCGGGGAAAGCAGAGGAGGACAGAGACCTGCAGCCAGAGCTCCTGGCTCTTGGCTTTGGCCTAGCCTAAGCACTGCGCAACCACTGGGAAATTGACCAGCCGACAATCAATCAATCAATCTCTCTCCCTCTCTCTCTCATTAAATAAGTAAGTCTTTTTTAAAAAGAAAGCCAGGTCAAGTCTTTAGCCACTTTTAAACTGTATTGTTCCTCTGTTGCCAAATTATAAAGTTTTTTAAACTTTTTTTTCCATTCTAGAATTTTGTCAGATACATAAACATAGTTGCTTTGTGAATTTCCTTGATGCACAGATTTTAAATTTCAAGCTAACTGTTTAAGGGAGAGGGACGGCGAAGAGTCCCACATGCCTGCAGTGCTGCGGTGGGCCTGTGGGCTGTCACACCCCACTGCTCCAGCCGTCACCGCGCCGGCTCTGCATCAGCAGGAAGCCAGCACTCAGGGTGGGAGACGGAGCCCAGGCCCTCTGACGTGGGGCACATTACAAAATTATTTTTATTTACTTGAAAGAGTTATAGAGGTGGGGAAGGGAGCAGAGAGGGAGAGACAGAGAAGGAGAGCTCTCCCATCTGCTGGTTCACTCCCCAAATGGCTACAACAACCAGGTCTGGGCCAGGGCGACGCTGGGAGCCTGGGTCTCCCACGGGGGTGCAGGGGCCCGAGGACTTCAGCCACCCCCTGCTGCGTTCCCAGGTGCACTCATAAGGAACTGGATCAAAAATAAAACAGCTGAGACTTGAACCGGTGCCCATACGGGGATGCTGGCATCTCAGGCAGCAGCTGAACGCACTGTGCAGCAATGCCAGCCCCTGGGCACAAGCGTCTTAACTGCTAGACTGACCACCTGTTCCCCAAACATTTTATTCTGGCAAATTCCAGTTTATCTCATTTTTCCCTCTCTCTGATTTTGCTAGCAGTTCTGGTGGCAACTCTGAGAAGCTGGAGATTCTGTTGCCCTTGAATGAGACAGAGGACACACAGGGACCTGCTGGGAGCACTGTGGGGCTGGCAGGCCTGGGCCACCCAGCGACAGGGCGTGAGCTAGTGAGCACTGGGAGCCAGCAGTTTTTACAAGGAAGCCTGGGATGAGCTTTGCGAGGCTTGCAGCCGTACTGGAGGATCTGGGTTCGAGTCCTGCTTGGTTTCCAATGCAAGCTGCCTGCTGACACGCACCTGGGAGGCAGCCAATGACAGCGCAAGCGCTGGGTCCTTGCCATCCACAAGGGAGACCTGGATGAAGTTCCAGGTTCGTCTGGACTTTGGTAGGGTCCCACCAGGGCTGTTGTGGGCATTCAGAGGATGAATCGGAGACTGTCTTCTGGGGCCAGTCCAACCCTCCATTTTACAGTGCCAGCATTCCCACAGGGGCGCCGCTTTGTGTCCACGCTGCTCCACTTCCTATCCAGCTCCCTACTGGCCTGGGAAAGAGCCAAGGACAGCCCAAACCCTCGGGACCCTGTGTCCACATGGCGCCCTAAAGCAAGCTCATGGCTCCGGGATCAGCTCGGCTCCAGCCACTGTCGTCATTTGGGAAGCGAGCCAGGGCACAGAAGAGCCTTCTCTCCTCTCTATAAATCTGTTTTCCAAATAAAAATAAATAAATCTTCAAATTTGTTAAATATGTCTTCCAAATAAACTAATAAACAGCTTAATAAGTAAGTTTCTTTTTAAAGGGGGATTTATTTTATTTACCTGAAAGAGTGTCAGAGAGACAGAGACCTCTCACTCCCCAAGTGGCCGGCTGGACCAAGCAGAAGCCATGAGCCCAGAACTGTGCCCTGTGCCCCACGCGCTACGACAGGACCCCAGGGGCTCGGGCCAGCTGCTCCTTCCCAGGTACCTAAGCAGGGTGCTGGACAGGAAGCAGGGCAGCTGCTACAAGAGCCAGCTCCCTAGCACCAGCCCCAGGCCTTTTGTTTGCTTGTTTTGTTTTTAAAAGAAAATTAGATATACAGAGAGGAGGAGAGACAGAGAGGAAGATCTTCCATCCGATGATTCACTCCCCAAGGGAGCGCAATGGCTGGAGCTGAGCCGATCCAAAGCCAGGAGACAAGAACCTCTTCTGGGTCTCCCACATGGGTGCAGAGACCCAAGGCTTTGGGCTGTCCTCGACTGCTTTCCTAGGCCACAAGCAGGGAGCTGCAAGGGAAGCGGGGCTTCCAAGATTAGAACCAGTGCCCATATGGGATCCTAGAGCATTCAAGGCGAGGACTTTGGCTACTACACTACTGCGCCGGGCCCCTCAGTTTTTTCTTTAACCAAAAAGAACAGACTGGTTGAGTACCAGGAGTTCAGCACCTGAACTAGCACATATGCAGGGGACCATCGGGTCTTGGTGGGGAGGACTCAACAGCCCACCCACGGCAGCCAGCAGGGTCAGGGCCACCTTGAACATGGCTGTGCAGACACAGGAAGACCCGTGTGCTTGGAGAGATGGCCACTAGCCAAGCAGGCCCCAGGTCCAGAGGTGGACGCCTCATCCAAGCCGCTGCCATGCTGGCTGCTGCCAGCAGCTGCTGCCCTAACTCCTACCCAGAGTGTTGGCACGGTTCTCCTCTGCTCTGTGGGAAATGGGAACAGACAAAAGGAACAGGCCAGTGGCCAGAGGCACTTGAGTGGTGCTGGAAAAGCCCTTAGGGCCAGCAAGGGTGCCAAGGCCACCATGGCCACCACGTGAGACAGTGCTTGAGGACGCAGGTGAGCAAGTGGCTTGGGCCAGGTGTGGCCTCGTGCCCAAGTCCCACCTCCCTGCCCATGCATCAGGCTCCCACTGCGTACCATGTCCTCCGAAAAGCAGGGTCTCCTAGCTCACCCCGTCCATGAAGGCCCTGGTGAGGCCTCTCCACAGCCCTCCCCAGCACCTACAGCCACCTCACCCATGGCCACATGGCCAATAAGCCTCCATCCACAGGACACCCCACCCAGAGCCACAGCTACATACCAGCTGTCCACAGGGATACCCTAGGGTGCTCTCCACAATGTAGCCCTCACACCACCACGACCATGAGCCTGTCTGGGGGTGGTGGGCAGCCACAGAGCCAGCCCAGGACCCCAGGCTCTGCTGTCAGCCCTGGGGTCACAGCTACTCGGCAGGTGGGCATACTCCTCTGGCTGCAGGACACTCCACGCTGTGGGAGCCCTGAGATCACCCAGTGGGCCCTGACCCCGCCACACACCAGGAGGCTCCTCTGTCTGCCAGCCCAGCCCCAGGCCAGCACACGAGCTATCACAGGCTCTGGCAGAGCCAGCGCAGTAGGCTCTGAATCCTGCCTGGGAGTCGTGGGCACCTCGTCTCCGCCTTGTGGGGTCCCACTACACTGAGTGTAGCCTGCCTGGCCCTGTGTGGGGTGCCAGGATCAGCACTGTGCTTGGCAATGCAAGCACCAGGTGCCTGGGACACAGCCTGTTACTTGCAGGTGGGCCACCCACCATGGCCACCACTTGCCGGGACCCAGAAGGCCTGGGCACTCACCACACTCAGGCACCCTGAGCTGGAGCACTCACCATACGATGGCCAGCCTTGGGATGGTGAACATGAGGCCCGGTTCATAGTCATCAATCATGTCCTGGGTCAAGTACCCGAGGTCCAGGGCCCTGCCAGGGGACAGAGTAAGTTGGGTGACAGCTGGCCCACCCTCTCCTGCTACTGAGCCCTGGGCCCAGAGTGGGGCCAGTGCTGCAGAGACCCCGCATTCAGCACCTGGGGGCCTTCTTAGCCTGTCCCTGCCCACATCCACACTGTCCCAGGGAGGACAGAAGACATGGGCTAAGGGTGATGCGAGAGGACAGCTGTGACATCCAAAAAAACAAGATAACCCAGACACGGCGACCGAGGTGTCCAAGGTGAAAGTGCCCCGGGCACTCACACTAACTCACTCCTGGGCAACCCAGAGCACTCTCCCACAGCCACGAGCAGGTAGGGGCCGCCGTCCTGCGTTCAGGCTGATGACGAGCCTCAGCAAGCATAAACAACGAACAGGCTGTCTTTTAAAGGACAAACCCAGTGTGGATGCTGACGGTGGCAGTTAGGGACACCACACGTGCGTGCGCATGCAGCCCCAGCACGCTGGAGTCAAACCCCAGGTCCTTGGGAGCTGCTGCCTACAGGGGAGGAAACGGCCAAAGTGCGTGCCCCAGGGCCGCCCTCTGCCCTGGGCAAGCCCACCCCGGCCCCTGCCATCCTCACCTCTCCACCGTCTCACAGAACAGCACAATCACTTCCTGCTGCACGTAGTACTCCCTGGGGGACTTCACAGGCACCATGGCCGAGACGTAGCTGCAGACACACGAGAGATGTCAGGGCCAGGAGTCACCACGGCCACCCTGCACACACAACAACCCCAAGACCCTGGGTCACCATGGCCACCCTGCACACACCCCCAGGGCCAGGGGTGGACATGGCCACCCTGCACCACACTCTGTCTGTTCAGCACCTTCGTAAACACATGATGCCTGGTTCACGGCAGACCCTTCTAACCAGCGTTCCTGCTGAAGCAGTCTCCACGAGGGACTATTCGGGCCCCATCCCGGCCCTGAGCACCTGCAGGCATCCCTGCTCTCCCAGCTTGTTAAGCCTTCCCGGGTGAGCCACGGAATGGCTGAATGTAGGCCTCGTGGATGGATGCTGAGGGGAGCGAACTCGGGGAGCCCTGCCACAAGCTGGGTCAGGATGGGTGGCTCTCAGCTCTGGTGCTGGGGTGGTCCCATCCCTCAGGGCAGCGGGGTCCCTGGGTATTTGCTGAGTAGCTGCAAGACAGTGAGGCCAGCCACTGCTTAGCTCTAAGTATTTCTCATTTTGAAAGCTGACGTGGGGATTTGGGAGAGACAGAATGGAAGAGAACTCAGCTGCGTGATGTTTTGCTCCCAGTGTACCCTGGCGGCTTCAGCAGACAGGGTCACGAACTGGGGCCTGCTCTTGCCGACCTGCCCTGGCTGTCACTGCCTCCGTTGAGCACCTGGTCCCCGGGCTTTCCAGTGATGCCTGGGATCCCTCGTTCCCACGTGGACACCCCCAGGCATTAACCACACCAACAGGCAGCCCAGACCCTCCCTTCTGGGACATCTTGGCTTGAAGTATCAGAAAGAGCCTGGGAGCTTGCACCCCCATGCAGACTGCAGCGACACATGGCACACGCACTTGGGGCCCTCAGGTCACCTCAGCTCAAACTCTGCGAACAGCAGGTCGAAGTGCCTCAGTGCCTCCCGCATCTTCTCCGTGTAGGTGTTGAGGTCCCGCAGTGCCTGGTCACGGAGGGCACTCCGCACCTCCTCCAGGCTGCGGGTCAGCTCCTTGGCCAGCGGCCGCATGGCCATGCTCTCCAGCTCACGGTTCATGATGATGGAGCCAGCGGCCAAGCACTGTGGGCGGAGGGACACCCTTAGTGCAGGCCACAGACGGGGCTGGCGTTCTCAGGGTGCCTCATCCCAGGGTCCTGACTCTGTACCCCATGCTGGACCAAGACTGGATGCCTGTCCTGGTCCCCCCTCAAGAGGGTTCTGCTCAGACAGAGCAGTCAGTAACAATAATGAGGGGCCTGCTGGGAAGTAGGTACTCGCCCCAGGCCATCACCAGGCCATCACCCAGCAGGCAGTGAATGGCCAGGAGCTTGGACCTCCAAGGAGCCCTAAAGGACAGCGTGGAGCTTGTGGGTGCCAGAACCACACACAAAGGAGATGGCAACCCCCTATGCACCTGAGCCTAGCCAGGCAAGCAGGAAGGACCCTCCCCATCTCACAGTTGCCCTAAGAGCCCACTGAGAGGGGCGAATGCCATGAAGGACAGATGACCTGTTGGGGCCACTCACAGCCAAGGGCAGGAGGAGACAGGACTAAGCGGGGCACAGAAGCCCATCCCAGGGACTCAGAGAGGTCAGGGAGGGAGTGCAGGATGGCGCGACAGACCAGGGACAGACACCAGGGCCGCAGCAAGATCACCTGAAGCCACACCTCCTACTGTGACCAAGGGCAAGACTGGGATGTCCACAGTGGGGAGGTCACAGGAGGCACCCCTGTGCTGGTCCCGCCACCTCCTGGGGGGCAGGTCGTCTTGCCCTGGTGCCTCAGTTCCCTCACCAGGAGCTGAAAGACTGCAGCCAGTGTTGGGCTGCGTCAGGTTAAGCCACATCCGCATCCAGTACACAGCACCAGCTGGTGTCCGCTCCACTTCTATCCCGCTCCCTGCTGTGGCCTGGGAAAGCAGACAGGACGGCCCACTTCCCATCCCGCTCCCTGCTGAGGTCTGGGAAAGCAGACAGGACGGCCCAGAGCCTGGGGACCCTGCACCCATGGGGGGAGACAGACGAAGCTCCCGGCCGAGGCCTGGCCCAGGTGACTGTGGCCGTCTCCAGAGGAAACTGGCACTTTCTGTCTGTTTCAGCCCCTCCCACTGCAACCCTTTGAAATAACAAGAAATCTTTAAGAAGAAGAAAGATGTGCAGGACTGCCCTGAGACGCAGCCGCCTGGCGTCCCCAGCCAGCCCCTCTGCCCTGCAGGACCCTGCGCTGCCGTTTTGCTGCCAGCTGGAGAAGGGAGCACCCATGCTCATGGAACCTTTATAGCTACTAACCACCAATCGCTGGGGTCGGGGCAGTGTGGGGATATCAGGCTAATCCCCCGCCTGCAGCCCTGGCAGCCCAAGTGGGCACTAGTTCCAGTCCCAGCTCCTCCACATTCAATCCAGCTCCCTGCTTACGGCCTGGGAAAGCAAGGGAAGATGGCTCAAGGCCTTGGGACCCTGCACAGAAGACCCGGAGGAAGCTCCTGGCTGCTGGCTCAGACCTGCTCTGGCCGTTGGGGCCAAGTGAAGAGTGAACTAGCGGGTGGAAGATCTTTTCTCTTTTTTTTCCTCTCCCTCTCTCTCTCCCTCTCTCTCTCTCTAATCCTTTCGTGTGTGTGTGTGTGTGTGTGTGTGTGTGTGTGTGAGAGAGAGAGAGAGAGAGAGAGAGAGAGGACCTCACGAATATCACATGGTACACCGACTGGCCAGCAGTTAGGGGACACAGGCTTGTGGCTCAGGCTATGCTCTACGTCAGTCCCAGGGAGACGCCGACGTCAGCTTTGGGGTCCCAGGCCCAGGTCACTACCTCGGCGCCGAACCACAACTGGCCAGCCAGGTTGTCATGCCGGATCTCCTCGGGGAACTTGACGCAGAAGTCCCGGGGGGCGCGCTCCTGGGGGATGCACTCGTCCATGATCTGGCTGATGACGCTCAACACGCTGTCCTGCGATGAACAGAGGAGCCATCTCGGGGCGGGAGCACACCCCACCCACGTGCCACCCGGCCTCCCGGGGTCAGCGGGTGGACTGGGGACGCCCAGGCTTGCTCCACAACTGCACAGGAAAGCTCCAGCATAGTGGGGACACCTGGAATGGAGGGACATATCCCCCAACTCAGCCCCAACTCAGGTAGGTCCTCACCTGTGTGAGGGGGAGGGGAGAGGACAGGTGTCTGACAACCTGTGACATCTTGGATGTGTCCAGTCAGGCACCTGTGAAACCAGTCTTTCTGAAGCCCACAGAGGGGACGCTGGGCTTGTTTCTGCAACTGGAGTCCATGTCACCTGTCCCCAGGGTGGGCTGGAGCTGGGAGTTGACAATCGTTGGCAAGTGGGCACCCAGGGCAAAGTCATGGCTCTCTGAACTTCAGTGTACCTACCTGTCGGGGGCAGACACAACCCCAGGTCTCAGGCCCAGGCCACCTCCCCAGGAAGCAGCAGGTGGAAGAGGGTAAGAGGCAGGCAGCCAGCCCTGGGAACGCCGGGCCTCTGCTGTGCCACCAGGACAGGCCCCTGTGCTCCCCTGCCACTCGGACCCCTCGGAGAAATACAGGGCGCAGTCCCAGGCACACAGCACCTGCTCGTGCCCCAGATGCCCTGCACCCACAGGTCACCACACCGCGGCCGGCAGGAGGCGCCATCCTGGTCCCACAGCTGCCGCATCTTCCAGAGATTCAGACAGTAAGGGCTTGCTTCTGCTCCTGTCCGCCTTAATCTGTTCAATGCAAAATCACTTTCATCGTGGGAAAAGCTCAGAGCAGACGTGCGCCGCTCGGGGAGGAGAGCACCGGAGCCAGCCGTTAGCCCCAGAAGCCCACCTCCAGGGGTATGCTGGCATGTGGCTGTGTGCTGAGCTCCGGGCCCCACTGAAGGGAGCACGCTCCCTGGCCTGGGGTGCACCCTACTGAGCCACTGCCTCCCCGTCCCTGGTCCCTGGCTGCTGATCCTCTAGGACCATGCGCAAGGCAGAGGCCTCAGGGATGGTGCCCACTGCTTTCCTGAGTGGACGGACACAGGCAGGCAGATTTGGGGAGACTGGCAGGAGGGGAAGACCTCTCCTCGCCTGCGAGGTGTGCTGCCCTAGCTCGGGCACGTTCAAGTACTGCTCCTCAGCTCCTAGTCCAGTGCGCTAATGTGGAGCACACCTCCGGGACACAGGGATGACTCCTCAGGGACACAGGGATGACTCCTCAGGGGACATGGGGGATGACTCCTCAGGGACACAGGGATGACTCCTCAGGGACACAGGGATGACTCCTCAGGGGACATGGGGGATGACTCCTCAGGGACACAGGGATGACTCCTCAGGGGACATGGGGGTGACTCCTCAGGGGACATGGGGGTGACACCTCAGGGGACATGGGGGTGACTCCTCAGGGGACATGGGGGTGACACCTCAGGGACACAGGGATGACTCCTCAGGGACACAGGGATGACTACTCAGGGACACAGGGATGACTCCTCAGGGGACATGGGGATGACTCCTCAGGGACACGGGGATGACTCCTCAGGGACACAGGGATGACTCCTCAGGGACACAGGGATGACTCCTCAGGGGACACAGGGATGACTCCTCAGGGGACACGAGGATGACTCCTCAGGGGACATGAGGGATGACTCCTCAGGGGACACAGGGATGACTCCTCAAGGACATGGGGGATGACTCCTCAGGGGACACGGGGGATGAATCCTCAGGGAACACGGGGATGACTCCTCAGGGGACATGGGGATGACTCCTCAAGGACATGGGGGATGACTCCTCAGGGACACGGGGATGACTCCTCAGGGACACGGGGATGAATCCTCCGGGACACGGGGATGACTCCTCAGGGGACACGGGGGTGACACCTCAGGGACACAGGGATGACTCCTCCGGGACACAGGGATGACTCCTCAGGGACACAGGGATGACTCCTCAGGGGACATGGGGGTGACACCTCAGGGGACATGGGGATGACTCCTCAGGCGACATGGGGGATGACTCCTCAGGGAACACGGAGATGACTCCTCAAGGACACAGGGATGACTCCTCAGGGACACGGGGGATGACTCCTCAGGGGATATGGGTTGACTCCTCAGCACTGCCCCGGGGACACAGCGGATGACTCTGATTCTCTTGAGGATGTTGCACCCACTTGGGAACCTCAGATGGAGTCCCTGACTGTGGCCTCGGCCTGGCTCCACCCAGCAGTGCCAGCGGTCACGTCACCAGCCAGCTGACAGCAATCATGGCTCTTGTTCTGGCTCTCAGCCTACCACCTGTGGTTTGGACTTTCAAAAAAATCAGTAAAATTTAAAAATATATATATTAACAAGTCAGACATGATGATGAAAATTAAGGGTGAAATTTAAAGGTGAAAATTTAAACTCATTTGATATTTAAAAAATTACACTGCAGATTCACATCTCAGGAAAAGTGGGACAGTGTGGACCTGAGTACCAGCACAGCGGACACTCGGAGAGAGCTGGCCAGGTCACCGGCAGGCGGAACAGGAGAGGGGGGCAGAACGCATGCGTGGGACTGTGACCAAACTGCTTCAAATCTAAGGACAGCTACAGACTCACAGCCTTAATTTCAATGACTCCAGAAAACTGTACAAGTTCAGATTAACCAAAAACAACAAAAAGAAAATCGTGCAAGGGACAAGTACACACTCCACCTGAGGATCAAAGAGCAAAACATGAGCCAGCGTGGCACGGAGGGTCCGGCTGCTGCCTACGATGCCAGCACCCAAGCAGCACTGCTTCACGTCCCAGCTGCTCCACTTCCCATCCAGCTCCCTGCTGACATGCCTGCCAGAGCAGCAGAGGACGGCCCAGCGCCCGGGCCCTGCACCTGCTGACGGACCGCCCAGCGCCCGGGCCCTGCACCTGCATGGGAGGCCCAGGGGAGGCACCTGGCTTCTGACTTTGGCTCAGCTCAGCACTGTCTGTCACAGCATCTGTACAGTTAACAGTAGACATGTCTGTCGATAAGTACATTCAAGCAGCAAGCACTCTCTAAGTCAATGGTGATGGAGACAACGCAAAGCCAACAGGCAAGAAACACTAAAATGTCTTCCAGGGGGAAAAAAGTGACATCAGATGGAATGCTCAAAGAAACAGACGGCCCAGGAATGGTGGCGACCACAAGGCAAGATAAATCCTCTCTGAGCAAAACGCCAGAGCACGCTGATCTACCGCGTATGGTGCCGGCATCCGACACGAGTGCTGGCTCATGTCCCAGCTGCTCCAGCTGCTCCAGCTGCTCCAGCTGCTGCAGCTCCCTGCTGATGTGCATAGGACAGCAGCGGAAAATGGGCCCTTGCACTCAGAAGAGCCCTGCTGCCAGCTTCTAACCGGTCCAGTTCTGGCCACTGCAGCCACTTGGAAAGTGAACCAGAGGATGGAAGATGCCTTGCTCTGTGTAATTCTGACTTTCAAGTAAAAATAAATAGCTCTTTTGAATCAAAATACACTGGGCCCAGTGCAATAGCCTAATGGTTAAATCCTCACGTTCCATGTGCCAGGATCCCATATGGTGCCTGTTTGTGTCCCAGCTGCCCCACTTCCTGTCCAGCTCCCTGCTTGTGACCTGGGAAAGCGGTGGGGACAGCCCAAAGCCTTGCACCCATTTGAGAGACCTGGAAGAAGCTCCTAGTGTCGGATTGGCTTGGCTCCGGCCATTGCAGCCATTAGCTCTAAGTCAGCGGTCAGAAGACTCTCTCTCTCTGCAAATCTGCATTTCCAATATAAATAAATAAATCTTAAAAAAAAACCCACTCACACTGCAGTGTGGTCAGGAGTGTGGGAGGCACCAGCAGCACCAAGCCCAGGGTCCAGCCCAGGTACTCCCACCATCCTTGCACATGGCCAGTGCGACTCAGTCAACAGCGTCTAGAACATGCCTTAGGAAACCAGGTGTGCTGGCCAACAGATCAACAGAGGAGACAATCACACAACAGGGACCAGTGTGGTGGCAAATGCATCATCCGTCTCATAAGGGCACCGGTTCGTGTCCCAGCTGCTCCACTTCCCATCAAGCTCCCTGCTATAACGGAGGATGGATGAAGGCCTTGGACCCAGGTGGGAAACCCAGACTAAGCTCCTGGCTCCTGGCTTCGGATCAACTCAGCTCTGGCTACTGTGGCTATCTGGGGAATGAACTAGCAGATGGAAGATCTCTCTCTCTGTAAATCTGCTTTTCAAATAAAAAAATAAATCTTTAAAAATCATAAAATAGAATATTTTAGATCACAAGACACCAAGTAATACAAAAGAAGAAAAAGAGCAGATAGCAAGACACCGATGACGTCACAGACCACAGTGGACAAGGTGCTGATGACATCACAGATCACAGTGGACAAGGCGCTGATGACGTCACAGATCACAGTGGACAAGGAGCGGATGACATCACAGACCACAGTGGACAAGGTGCTGATGACATCATGGACCACAGTGGACAAGGCGCCGATCACGTCACAGACCACAGTGGACAAGGCGCCAATGATGCCACAGACCACAGTGGACAAGGTGCCGATGATGTCACAGACCACAGTGGACAAGGCGCCAATGATGCCACAGACCACAGTGGACAAGGCGCCAATGATGCCACAGACCACAGTGGACAAGGTGCCGATGATGCCACAGACCACAGTGGACAAGGTGCCGATGACGTCACAGACCACAGTGGACAAGGCGCCAATGATGCCACAGACCACAGTGGACAAGGCGCCAATGATGCCACAGACCACAGTGGACAAGGCGCCGATCACGTCACAGACCACAGTGGACAAGGCGCCAATGATGCCACAGACCACAGTGGACAAGGTGCCGATGACGTCACAGACCACAGTGGACAAGGTGCCGATGACGTCACAGACCACAGTGGACAAGGTGCCGATGACGTCACAGACCACAGTGGACAAGGAGCGGATGACGTCATAGACCACAGTAGACAAGGTGCTGATGACGTCACAGATCACAGTGGACAAGGAGCCGATGACGTCACAGATCACAGTGGACAAGGTGCTGATGACATCACAGACCGCAGTGGACAAGGTGCTGATGACATCACAGACCACAGTGGACAAGGTGCTGATGACGTCACAGACCACAGTGGACAAGGTGCTGATGACGTCACAGACCACAGTGGACAAGGTACCGGTGACATCACAGACCACAGTGGACAAGGTGCCGATGACGTCACAGACCACAGTGGACAAGGTGCCGATGACGTCACAGACCACAGTGGACAAGGTACCGGTGACGTCACAGACCACAGTGGACAAGGAGCCACTGTGGACAAAGATGATCTGAAAACGCCATCTAAAAAGCAGACATTTTCAGATTGCACAAAAACGAGCAACTGCATGCATGTAGCAGGCATGACACAGTGCTTTACAGCATGGCTTCACCCTCGAGGGCCTGGTTCTAATCCTGGCTGCCCTGCACCTGGCAGGCAAGGGATGAGGCATTCCTGCCCCTGACACAGGACACGGACCCTGCGTAACGGTCCTGGCTTCTGGCTGTGCTCGGTCCAGCTCCGGCTGTTGCAGGGGAATGAAGCAACAGGCGGAAGAACTTCATCCCTCTCTCATCTCTTCTGTCTGTTTCTCTCTCCGCCCCTCCCTGTGTCACTCTACCATTCAAGTGAATATGTAAGTCTTAGAAAACACCCCCTTGGGCCCGGCGCGGTGGCACAAGTGGTTAAGGTCCTCGCCTTGCACGCCCGGGATCCCATATGGGTGCCAGTTCTATCCCGGCAGCCCCGCTTCCCTTCCAGCTCCCTGTCTGTGGCCCGGGAAAGCAGTCGAGGACAGCCCAAGGCTTTGGGACTCTGCACCCGTGCGGGAGACCCGGAAGAGGCTCCTGGCTTCGGATTGGCATAGCATTGGCCGTTGCACTCACTTGGGGAGTGAATCATCGGATGGAAGATCTTCCTCTCTGTCTCTCCTCCTCTCTGTATATCCACCTTTCCAATAAAAATAAAATAAAATAAATAAATAAATAAAAGAAAACACTCCCTTTACATACAAAGACACAAATGAGGTCAAAAGTAAATGCATCTAAAGTTACGCAGTGCACTCACCCGTCACAAGAAGGCTGGGGTGATGCCAGTGTGAATAGTTTGCAGGATGACAAAGGGCAGCTTCTCAGGGCATCCTACGCTGAAGCCCTCTCTCAACAACTCAGCACACAACCAGCACGCGTGTGCGAAGTGCTAACTGCTACTAACCGACACAGCACACAGCACGCTGACACGCTAGACACGCTGACACGCTAGCAGCAGGTGCGGGGCCTCCGGGATGCGCCCGCGCTGGCCACCAGCAAAGACACACGCTGGGCGGCAGAACAAGCTTCTGAAACGGCAGGTACACTGTGCGACCACAGCGGACTGCAAACACAGCAACAAGAATCTCCAGGAAAAACAAAATACCTAAATGTTTGGAAAGCAAATAGTACGCTTCCAAAAAACTCTTGGGGAAGCAGACACATTGCCCAGCGCCCCAACAGCCGTGCGGGGGTCCTCACTTCCGGTTCCCGAGCCAGCTTCCTGCTAACACAGAGCCCGGGAGGCAGCCCAAATGAGCCCCCTGCCAGCTTGCGGCCCGAAGCCTGCAGCAGGCCCTCAAGGGACCCAAGAGCGTGTGTCGGCCCTCTCTCAATTCTTTCCTGCCCTCCTTGGCCTCTCCTCACTCTCACTGTACTTTCCAAGTACATGATAACAAATAAATGAACATTACAATATTACAATTTAAAATACCTAAAAATCTAATGTTATTATGAACAAAGTCCAACTCTGCCTTTGATCCTTTGGGTATGTCTGCGATGCCTGGCCAGCGGTGGTCTCCTCTCACCAGGCAGCCATGGTTCTGTCATTCTCTGAGCACTGGGACTTGACCCGTGATGACCTGTTGCACACTGGACCCACTGAGGGGCCCTGTGTGGTGGTTAGGACTGTGAAGGAGTCTCCTAGCTGAGTGGAGGTGGCGCTCTAACTCAAGAAGTGAGAGAACTGGGGGCCCAGCACTATACCCTAGTGACTAAATCTTGCATGTGCACTCCTCAAGAGGCTGCAATGATCCCATACGGCATCCCACATGGGCGCCAGTTCATGTCCCAGCTGCTCCACTTCCCATCCAGCTCCCTGCCTGTGGCCTGGGAAAGCAGTCAAGGATGGCTCATAGCCTTGGGACCCTGCACCCATGTGGGAGACCCAGAAGAAGCTCCTGGCTCCTGGGCTTGGATCGGCTCAGCTCCAGCCATTGCGGCCTTTTGGGGAGTGAACAGCAGAGGGAAGATCTTTATCTCTGCATTTCTTCTGTCTGTATATGTGACTTTGCAATAAAGCTAAATAAATCTCCAAAAAAAAAAAAACCCACGCCCACACTCAAGGCCTCAGAGAGTGAGGGGCTGAACTACCAGCGTTGGTCTTTTTCCTGTTTTCCTGCCAACAGCTCCTACTGAGGGGGAAAAATGTCATTTCTATAGTAATGAGACAGCGGGTGGCTGGGGTTCGCCAGGGGACTCTCAGCTGTCCCTCACCCCTACACACACGTGCACACAGGGCGGCTGCGGCTGGATGGAAGCGCCTGGACATGGATGGACCGCTGGCCTGGCAGGTGCACCTGAGCGACTCCAGGACTGCGGATGCCCCAGTGCTCAGGGCAACGCCCATGGCAAAGGGAACTAAAAAACAAACAGCTCTGAAATTTGCACAGGAAGAACTGTCACAGAAAAGGCCTATTATGAACAAAAGACGAGTTTCTAAATATTTTGCACTTAAAACCCCCTCAGATTCCTTTGCCATCGACCTGTGCATTCTCATCTTTCTTACAGACCTTGTAACAAACCGTAAATGTGTCCCTGGGAACTGAACCCCAGGAGGGTGTCAGGGGCACACTGCATGTTCCACAGCTGGGGGTCAGGCACTGCGGGCCGACGGTGGCACAAGTGACCTGGGCAGCCTGCCCCAGCTGCAGGACAGCCGCCACCAAACACAGCTTCCCACAAGGAAATGCCCTCGAATTACGCAGCAGCAGCTGGTGTGGAGTCCACAGCAGGCAGGTGCTCGCACTGCCGGACCCCTCCAGGGGCACAGCCCCTCACCCCCGCTGGCAGGTGCTCCGGACCCCTCCAGGGGCACAGCCCCTCACCCCGCCGGCAGGTGCATCCCACGCAGCAGTGCTTCCCCAGGGCTCCTGCTCAGTGCGGCACCTGGGCCCACCCCTCCCCTGGGCAGCAGGCAACAGTGCCTGGGCTGCCCACCCCTCCATCATGCCACCCCCAAGCTCACCTGGCAGGCGCGGAACTGGCTGACAAGCAGCGTGCACCGCTGAGGGTCCTTGCGCCCGTCCAGGCTGTCTAGCTCGGCGGCCACCTGGTTCAGCTCCTCGTCCGCGTAGTAGAATTGAGCCAGCAGCTGCGGGTCCGACCTCTATGAGGACAGAGGCCTGGGCTGAGTGGGCAGCCACTGGGGGGTGGGGAGGGTGCAGGGATGCAGCACCTGCTGTGGCCAAGCTCCCAGGCTGTGCCCCAGCTCCACCTGGGCCTGGACAGGAGGCGGCTCAGGAACAACGGCCATCTCTGTTGCTTGGTGTCTTCTCGGCCTACGGGGCTGTACCCCTGCTTAAAACCGCCACCGCGGGGGCTGCCCAGCCCCTACAGAACCAACAGAGAAGGGGCTCTGGGGGGGAGGGCCCAAGGGGCTGTGTGATGCTGCAGCACACAGCCAAACAGAAATGACAGTGGTCACTGGGGGGAGGGGGAACACGGCCAGCTGCCCTTCGCCTGTAGAAACTTCTGCGTCCCCTTGGCCTTCCCGTCACACCCAGAGGGCAGGCCTTTGGGGACGGAGTCCTGGATTCACTCTCTTTCCATCAGCCTTACAGAGTCTGAAAGCAGTTACCTTCTCTCTGACAAAATCCAGGAGCCGTGATCACCTCCATTAGACCTGTGCCTCCTTAGCTGACCCCAGGGCCTTTGCACAGGGCCCTGCACCCTGGCTGTGCCTGGCTTGCTTCCAACCCAAGGATTAGGAGGCAAAGTGTGGAAATAATCCTCAGATGTGTGTTCACAGAAGATGCTCTTGGGCCTGGCACGGTAGCATAGTGGTTAAAGTCCTCGCCTCTCACATTCCAGGATCCCATATGGGCGCCAGTTCTGATCCCAGTGGCACCACTTCCCATCCAGCTCCCTGCCTGTGGCCTGGGAAAGCAGCAGAGGACAGCCCAAAACCTTGGGACATTGCACCTGTGTGGGAGACCCAGACAAGGCTCCGGGTTCCTGGTTTTGTATCTACTCAGCTCCAGCCATGTGGACACTTGGGGAGTGAATCAATGGAGAGATCTTCCTCTGTCTCTCCTCTTCTCTATGGATCTGAGCTTCCAATAAAAATATAACAAATCCAAAAAAAGAAAAAAACAAGAAGATGTTCTCATAACCACATGAAGAGAAAGCAGAGGCTGTGAACATGGAGCCAAGCAGACACAGTCCACACTGCCCGCAGCCAGCACTGCCCAGGGCCAGCACTGGACCCACACAGCGGCACACTGCCCAGGGCCAGCACTGGACCCACACAGCGGCACACTGCCCAGGGCCAGCACTGGACCCACACAGCGGCACACTGCCCAGGGCCAGCACTGGACCCATACAGCGATACACTCCCCGAAGCCAGCACTCCACCCACACAGGGGCACACTGCCCGAGGCCAGCACCGGACCCTCCCAGTTCTGCCTGGGAGATGGCCTGTTATTGTTACACCTGCTGTGGGTTCCCAGAAGCCCCTCTGATGAAATGAATGTAAAAGCAGCTTCGGGAAGCAGGAGATTCTCCCAATACCCATCCATCTTCTGGAAGTAAAGGAAGGGGTGGGGCCAGGGCAGGCAGCTCTAGCCCTTCCCGGGGACCCTGTAACCTCGGCTTACAAGACCAAGGCCTCACTCCCCTCTTCTCACCCCAGAAACACAGCCCAGCCTCCCCACGGGCTGGCAGATACAGAGGAGGGAGAGGCGTGGCACCTTATGACCACTTGGCAGGTCCCCACCCCGGTCCCAGCCCTGCCCTCCCCCCAGGAAGGCAGGTGGGGAGGGCGGCACTGACCCCACAGCCGGGCCTTGTCACTTGTTCCTGCATCCCTGACCGCACCTGGTGGCCAACAGGGCACCATCTGGCGTGACAATCAGCCCAGGTACTGAATTCAGAGCGCTAGAGATGCTTCCAAGGAGCTAACCGCCTGTGCGGAGGGGCCATACCGAAGCTGCCCTTGCCCTGCCACCACACGGCAGGACACCTCAGGACAACCAGGGCAGTGGCAGAGGTGACTCAAAGACCCCGGGGCCACCCACCTGGACCTTCCCAAGCTGCCAGTCCCACTGAGGGGAACCAGCAGAGCACTGAGCCTCCGAAGGGGGCCATAGTTCTCCCTGCCCCCCCATGTGCACATGGGAGGTGCATCAACTGCAGGACTGCGCCCTTCTGAGGACCCTAACACAACAGAGGTAGGCTGAGCTCTGGTGAAGACTCCAGAGGAGACGACCCTGCAGGCCGAGGGCAGGAGCCTCACAAGCAGCCAGCCCCGCTGGCCCGGGGCCCCCCCGAGAAAACATCAAAGGCAGCCAGCCCAGTGTCCTTGGGAGCTGGCAGTGATAGCTGGCACCTGCCCAGAGCAGGCCCTCACACCCACCCAGGGCAGCCCCAGCCAGCCAGCCTTGCCTAGCAAACTCCTCCGGCTGGAGGAAGACTGACCCCAAAGCTGTGCGTTACACGAGCAGCTGGCCCTAGCCTGAGCCTGCCCACCATGCAGGTGCCTGTTGGGGCCCGGGGTCGGGCATCGGGGCAGGGTGCAGATGCAGCAGCTCTCTCAGACTGCAGGGAAAGCGCCATGTCACTGGCACCAACTCTCCCCGATCCACCTCCCTGCTCCCACCTCCCTGCTCCCACCTCCCAGCTCCCACCTCTCAGTTCCCACCTCCCACCTCCCTGCTCCCACCTCCCTGCTCCCACCTCCCAGCTCCCACCTCCCACCTCCCTGCTCCCACCTCCCCGCTCCCACCTCCCAGCTCCCAGCTCCCACCTCCCACCTCCCAGCTCCCACCTCCCTGCTCCCACCTCCCAGCTCCCACCTCCCACCTCCCAGCTCCCACCTCCCACCTCCCAGCTCCCACCTCCCACCTCTCCAGTTCCCACCTCCCATCTCCCACCTCCCAGCTTCCAGCTCCCACCTCCCACCTCCCACCTCCCAGCTCCCAGCTCCCACCTCCCACTTCCCACCTCCCACCTCCCTCCAAAGGGACTATGGTTTCACCTTGATTTCTGCACCTCAAATCCTGAAAACCAGAACCAGGCCAGTGATGAAAGCTGTCTTGCACTCTCTCTCTCTCTCACACACACACACACTCACTCACACACTGAGCAGAAGATGAGAACCCAGCAAAAATTAGCAAGGCCTGTGCCAGGTAAAACTTCACTTGGCCAGAGCTGGTCAGCAGGCGTGAGCCTGAGACAGGGCCAGTCACCATCTTGGAACTGAATCAACCATCTTTTTTAACAACATTTTAGCATCAAATTTGACACTGAGCCTTCAAATGTTCCCGACACAGCACCCACCCAGTTGGCTCAGGCCCAGTCTAGCATCCAGCAGTGCACTGGTTTGCTGAAGTTTGGGAGACCCCTGGTAGGCTTCTACTCCATGAGGGGCAGGGCAGCAGAGATGGGGCAGGTGCCCACAATGCCAGGCTGGGCCCCTCTCCTCTCCGGACTGTATGGTCTGGCCAGACCCCCAAGAGCACCACAGGCAAAGGGAAGCTTGCAGCTGACACTCCTGAGTCTTCTTGCTCTCCCTGCCCCAGCAAGCTGGCCGCCCCAGGTCCCTGCTCAGAGAGTTGTCCAGGCCACACGCAACAGCCAAGGAGACCACTGGCAACAGCAGGGGGCCGGGAGCCCAGGGCCAGCACTGCTCACTGCCGCCCACTGCTGCCCAGGTCCTGCACGGGGGGCGGGAGCACCCAAGGGCGTTTGGGCCAAGGCCGCCCTCACTTGGCAGCACCGCAGCTCGGCAGATCTGCTGTCCTTACTCTTGTCCCTGCTGGCTGGCTCCTAGCCACAACCACCGTCCCCGACCTTCACGCCACCAGCCAACAAAAATGCCTGGAGGTCACTGAGCACCCAGGACGGCTTTTCAAAAAGACAATGAGTTTCCAGACAGAACTCTCAAGCGTGTACCGCCTGGGCACATGACACACTCGGCTGCAGAAGCTGCAGTGTGGTTACAGTGCAGCTAGCCACGCAGCTCCAGGGAACTGCAGAGCAGACAGCAGGCAGGTGGGAGCTGGCGGGTGGCAGGAGCAGCCTGTGGTGTTAGCAGGGTTTGCACACTGCGGCTCTTACTGTAGACCACGCCTTAAACAGCAAGAAGCTAGGGTGAGAGCGCTTTCCACTGCCACATTGCTGGTGGGTTCCCACGCACTGCCTGGCTCGTGGCATCCCAGATTACCAGCGGTGGAAGCATATGGTGTCCCTTTGGCTCCTAAGATGTGTGGAATCTTTCAGTGGGAGGCAGAAATTTAAACTGCTCAGCCCTGCTGCCCACCTTAGGGGGGCACACCAACTGTTAGGGTTCTTGGCTGAGCCAGCTGACCGCCTTAGGGGGCACACCAACTGTTAGGGTTCTTGGCTGAGCCAGCTGACCGCCTTAGGGGGCACACACCAAGTGTTAGGGTTCTTGGCTGAACCAGCTGACAGAAGCTCTGCCTTTATAGCATTCTCTCATTCTCTTTTTGCCAATTTTTTAAAATGAAAACAAAGACATTAAAAGTTTTTAAAAGTTTCCTGGGGGGGCTGGTGTGAAGCTGTTGCCTACACTGCAGGCATCCTCTGGGGGCTCTGGTTCAAGGCCCAGCTACCTCACTTCCTACTGAGAAAGTGGCAGATGTCCCATGGGTTTGGGCCCCTGCCCCCATATGGGAGCCAGGATGGAACTCCGGGCTTGGCACGGTGCAGCCCTGGCCTTTGAGGCCATTGGAGGAGTGAGCTCTCTCTGCCTGACTGCCTTTGAAATAAACTAACATGCAGCAAACTCCCTGTCCCCGCTTAGTAACAGGAGCCAAATCACGGGGGGCCCTTGCACTGCACTCTGCCCCTGCCTGCAGGTGACCCCTACTCACTGCTCCCTGCCCTGGGCACACAGCGGGGATAGAGCTGCAGCCCAGGCAGCTTCCGCCCATGGTCAGTGGTCACTTCTCGCCCGTGGCCTGGCTGCTGAATGACCTTGGGCTAAAAGTGGGCACCTGCAGGGCATACCCCCAAGCGCCAGGCTCTCCCAGAGCCAGGTAAGGCCAAGGGTTGAGAGAAACAGCACGGAGTCCACTGAAGACCCGGGGACAGCCAGCCGGGGAGCAACTTACACAGCACCGGACACTTTTCTTCTCATGT